GTAATGTGTTGTTCTTGACCAAGAAATTTTGGTGCAATATCTCTGCTCAATGCCAAAAAAATTTGTCCATGGACAAGAAAAAAAAATTGGATGCTTCTCAAATGTACTTTGTGTATGTAAAATTATATAATATATAAATATATATATATATATATATATATATATATTTATATTAAAGAATTAAGAGATTTTATATTTAGTGGAGCATATTTAATTCAAACAGGTTTGGTTAAATTATTTAAACATATCATATTGGTTAACATTACATTGTGATAAACCTAATAATTTTAAGTTCACGGATTAATTTCTTTGTAAAATTAGAAAAATGATTAAAAAAATATATAAATTTTCTTTCAAACAATTTTTATTTTTTATACCAAGTACTTTCAATCTCATCTGAGGCCATCTTCAGATGGTTAAGTTGATCTTTTAAAATGTATGTTTGTTTTGTAAATTCAAAATTTTCCAACTTAAATGCAAGATATAAAAAAATTTCAAAAAACAAACATCATGAATCAATTTTCTAAGACTAACAAAAAAAAAAGTCTGTGAACTCAAAAATATCATCTTGACAACTAATCTACAATTATTTTTTCTAAATTATTTAATCAAACCTGTTTGTACATAGTAAAAATTTATATATATATATATATATACACACACATTCATAGAACTACTTCTAAATAAAATTTTAACTTTCTCTTTTTTAAGAAAGACATATAAGAATGTTCTTTAGTTTATTTTTTTTTTTGGCATATCAACCTCAATTGGGGTTTTTAATGCTGAAAAGATTTTTTAGGATATGTTACAAATTTTATAGAATAATATGTATTCTTTGGTTTAGATTGGTTTTAATTTTATTTTGTTTTTGGCTTATCAAAAAAGCCTCAATGGGCTATTTAATGCTGAAAATATATTTTTTAGGATATATATATTTAATTGTATGAAAAATAATGTATTCTTTATATGAACTCAGTTTATAGATGAGGTTTCATTGATGTATTTTTGTAGAGAGTCACATGTATTGCTGGTACTATTTTTTTTCTCTTCAAAAATGTATTGCTGGTATTTTTACTATAAAAAAATCTATTTTTATAGTGTTTTGACCCCAGTTTGGAGGTTCAATATTTGCCCATAACTGAGACCCTAACAGGTGCAATGTCAGTGAAAATGATCCCCAAGGTGCTGGCGAAGAATGTGATTATATATATATATATATATATATATATATATATATATATACACACACACACACATTATTCACTTTCTTACATGCCCAACTTCTAAGAGAAACATTTTAAAAATTTGGCTTTACTCATTAACAATTTTTCAAGAGAGAGACTGTTTTTTTTACACCTCAAAGCACAAGGCTACAATTCTCATTGTTTGTTTATAATGATAATATGCAAGAAGCATTAAGCAGTCACTGACTAAAAAGGGTTATTGTCAGTTGAAATTTATAAAAAATCTGTTTTGGAAAAAAAATTTCAAGAAATTAGACTTTTCAAGTCCACTGTTATAGCTCTTTTCTACAGGGGGCAACAGAAATAATGGCAAAACATTAGCAACATGAAGACACCATTGTCCATAATGTATTACAATGGTGTCTTCATCTCGCTACTGTCATAACATTGTGTGAGCGGTATTTCTACTTCACCTTGCAGTATTGGTGCTTTTCTAAGCAAAGATTAGATGTGGCACAAGACTGAAAGTATAGGGCATCTAGTGAGGATCAAACTCACTATTCAGTCATAATTGATCTAGCGAGACAAGCTTGCTAATCATTACACCACGTCAAAGTGCTCCTACTGTATTGATAGGAATTTCCTTCCTTACCTTTTGTTTAAGGTTGTGTGAATAGTCAACATCTTTATTATATTATTATTTTCCCTTCTAGTTACATGTGCTATCCATTTTCATTGTTGCTGCTGTTGGAAGTCTTAAGTGATGTGGTTTCTGTTATTTGATACAATTCTCTGGGATGCTGTAGCACCAGTCTGTAAGAGTTGAGAAAGAATAGTCTTCTTGAATAGCAGTCCCCAATCTTTTTTGCCATACAGACCAGTGTCATGCAAGGCAGTTTTTCATGGATGGTGGGTAGATGTTGGTCATGTTCATAAAGCACTATAAATAAAACGGGGGGGGGGGGATGGGGGAGGAAATAACGTGTTCATTCTTTCTGTGTGGCCTGATACCAAAGTGGCAATGGCCTGGTGGTTGAGGACTACTGTTCTAGAAGACATAATGGACTCGTTTGCATGAAGCCATTTTTTAATTATTGATCTGTAAAAATGCTTGCGTATAGCCGAAAATGGTTGTTTACAGGCTGAACACTATTCCATATTTGTAGGAAACAAAAAAGAAAATATGATACCATATATATATATATTTTTTTTATTTATTATTTTTTTGTACTTTCAGAAATTTATATAAAAAAAAAAAAAAGAAGAGAAAAGTGTCAGCAGATGGTTGTGTAAGGTAAATACAGACTTAAAATCTAAACTCGGTTGTCCAAATAAAATTTCCTGTGTCCATATTATACTTCTGACATACTGCTCCTCCTGTACAGAAATACAGCACACACTAATAAATATATATATATATATATATATTACACGAATCATTCATACAAAAAACAGATATAGAAGTTAATGATTTAAATGGCGAGAATACATCTTCGCAAACAAATTTGATAAAGTACATACATTAATCCCGAACCTGTATGTTATCATCCCTGTTTATAAATTCCAGTTGCATAAGGTCTTTTTTAATTTTTTTTTTTTTTTACAAGCTTTCACCTATTCCTACAGACATCATCAGGTATGGAAATAGATTTTTGTTTTTTTACTTCTCGGTAATAACTGGAATTTATAAACAGGAATCATAACATTCACAGGTTTGGGGTTAATGTACTTTATTAAATTTGTTTGAGAAGATGTATTCTCACCATTTAAATCATTAACTTCTATATCTGTTTTTTGTATGAATGATTCATGTAATGTAAATTGAACTGCACCACATATTTATATATATATATATATATATATATATATATATATATATATATATATATATATATATATATATATATAATAAAATTTGAGGAATAAAAAGTCAACTAAGTAATATTGGCAAGAAAATTGATGGCATTTATATATTAATCAACCTTTTGACTAAATTGAAGCATGAAAAGAAAGATTTTTAAGTAAATTTTTTGGACATGCCTGTTTCCTTTTTCAACAAAATGAGGAATAAACAAAGAAATGGGACTTACTCTTCCAAGGAATCTTAACAACAATAGAAATGGAAGAGTAAGTCACACTTCTTTGCTTATTCCTTGTATTGTTGAAAAAAAGCATGTTCGAGAATTCCAACTTTAAAATCTTTCTGTTTGTGATTCGGTTTAGGCAAAAAGTTGATTAATATGTAATAAATATCATCAATTTTATTGCCAATATTGTCATCATTTTATGGCTTCCTCAAATTTTATTAACTGGTGTATTAAATCTACATATTATGAGAAACACGCATGGACCATCTTTTGTTTTTTATATATGATACATACATAAGCAGTCCCTAAGTATATACATGTTGAAAACTAATAAATCTAATGATAAAATTATCAATGAAAGAGTTTAGAAAAGAAGCCACTGTCACCTGAATTGTTTTGTTTTCATCTAAATACAGCTTCCTGTTAATTTAAAGTTACATAATAGGTGCGTGATCAAAAAATTCTCGATCCCAATGCTTTCAAAAATTAAATACTGAATAACATTTGGTTTGTCTTTTTTTGTAAATGAAAATCTCTAGTACTTATTTCATATCCTGTGTCTTGGTTGTGATAAAATCTAAGACAAATTAGCTTTTTTTTTTTCCCCCCATAATGTACAAATTAAAAGTTATTTAAAAAAAGAAAAAAAGAAATAAAAATAATACTACAATGTAAAAAATCATTCATATACAACATTCATTCTGGGCAAATCTTAATTTTTTTTCAATTCTGATTTTGACTGACAATCAAGATAGCGTGAAATTTAAAGGTCTGAATTTGGTCTCTTTTTGAGTTGTGTTATTGGATAGCATAATTGCTCTGCCTCAGCTATTTAGACATAGAACACATTATGGTATGGGTAGGTTTGTGTCTTTTTGCTTTTCCTTGTCAGTTTTTTGATTTTATTGTTTTCTTTGGTCATCTGGTAGGCGTTGTGTTGTTTTTTTCTTTATATATTAGTGTGTGTGAAATTAGTGGACAGGTTCTGGGAAATAATGTTAATACATTCTCTAGTGAATTATTAATATTCTTAGCAAATTCTGTTTTGACAATTCTTTAAGAAATGGTTAGAGAAGTGTGTGCATGCATATATATATATATATATATATTGGTGGGTGGTCGAAAGGTTCTTCAATGCACTTCCCAAAATCTAACCAAACACTTCTTGAAAGTGTTTCTTTGGAACTTTTCAGCATTTCTTCATGTATAAATGAATATATTTTATAATTTGTTATGTCCTCCCCACCCCCATCAGTTTTTGATTACTTGCTTTTATTGTCCATTAATTGTAAATACATTTTGAGGATACAGAAAGCAACTATAAAGTTTACAGCAATAAGTTTAATGGTTAAAAAAAAGAATAAAATCCGTTTGAAAAAAAGGTCCAAAAGTCACTTTTATAATAAACAAAGGTTTTGGGGGTTTCTTTTTATAATCCATATGCAACTCAAGAAAACTGAGTTCTTGTTTTGAATGTTTGTGTTCCAAGACCTTGAGAAAATTACCGAGGATAAAAAAAAGGGGAAAAAGTGAATTATATTTTCTCTTACAAAAGATAAGAACCTGTTATAAAAAACAAAGTGTATTTCTTATTACTATAAATGCAATGTCTAATGAGTTGAAATCTGAGTAGAGAGGAGAAAGAGATAAAGTTAGAGAGAGAGACAAGAGAAAATAAAAGAGAGAGAAAGAGAGAAAAAGAATAAAAGATTTTGAGAGAGAGAAAAAATTATAAACGGAGAGAGAGAGAGGAGAATTGAGTCAAAGAGAGAGAGAAAACTTTTGAGAGAGAGAGAGAGAGAGAAAAAGAGATTTGCTTCATAGAGAGAAGTTCCATAAAAGAGAGAGAGAGAAAGAGAAGAAAGAGAGAGAGAGAAATGAGAGAGAGAAAGAGAGAGAGAGAAAGAGAGAGGTAAAAAAGAGAGAGAGAGAGAGAAAAAAGAAAGAGAGAAAGAGAGAAATTAAGAGAGATCTAAGAGAGTGAGAAAAGGGAAAGAGATAAATATCTTTGATTAAATTTTGATTAATGATTAAGTTTCATTTCATCTAAATTATATATATATATATATATATATATATATATATATATATATATATATATATATATGCTGAAACACATCTAACTGCATTAAATATTGCATTTATAATAATAAAAAAAAGTTGGAATAAAAATCTATTAATTGCCGAATATATATATATATATATATATATATATATATATAAAAAAAAAAAGCATGCCTGAAAGTTCTCAGCCTGACCCACTACCAAAATCCAACCATATGTTGTTTTTTTACTTTTTTTTTTTGAAGGGCTTCTTGGTTATACTGAGAAATTTTAAGCAGCCATTTGCATGTATATAATTTAAAATCTGACATTTGCTTTGGTCACATTGTGTAAAGTAGATCAAACCGAGAACTTTCCAGCACCTTATTGTGTGTGTGTTATATAAATATACAGCTGCATACAACACACACATGCCATAAACCACATTTGATTGAATATTTTTTCATTGCCTTTCCTCTTTCAGTTTTCCCACAAAATGGTAACATTCTCCTTATTGTGCACGTCGGTCATCCGCCCATTTTCAATATCTGCATTTTTGGCTCTCAGAGGATTCTGTTTGTAGCTGGGCTGGATTTTACAAAGTGCATTTGCTTGGACGGGCGAAAAAGCCAGATCATTTTCATTCCTCTTGAGCAGTGGCGAGCGACCCTCTGAATCAGCCTTGGCTGTAAAAACACAACCACCAGTTTTCTTCCAGCCAAACCCTTTACCTGTTGGGAAGTCAGACTTTTTCTTGGCGGCAACTCGAGGGATCATTGAAGGCAGGGTTGAAGCTTTCGTGGTTACCTGGGATTTGGCAATCTTGGATTTTGAAACGAGAGAATTGGTAAATTTGATCGATGTGATACCGGGTGTGACAGTGACGGTAGTACTAGTTAAGGGTTCACCTTTTATTTTCAATTTTAATATCATTTGGCATCAAAGGGATTATGGGAGAAAACATTATTTCATTTACTTTCTTTTTTTTTTACTTTCTGCTTTTTCATCTGGAAGGACCTTCACTAAAAATTAGAAGAAAACAAATCATTAGAATCAATTTATTACATATAGACATTTTGCATATTATCATATTTGTATATAATTTGGTCCGCACCACAAACATTTTTCTTGGTAAAATGTATTGTATGTGTGTGTGTATAAAAATTCAGGTACAGTGTAACCCGGATATAAGAGAAACCCGGATATAAGAGAGATTTTCTCTGGTCCCAAATTAGAGCCCATACTTACCTAAACAAAATAGACCAAACCTGGATATAAGAGAAACCCGGATATAAGAGAGATTTTCTCTGGTCCCAAATTAGAGCCCATACTTACCTAAACAAAATAGACCAAACCTGGATATAAGAGAAACCCGGATATAAGAGATTTTCTCTGGTCCCAAATTAGAGCCTGTGTTAATGTATATAAAATAGACCAAACCGGATATATAAAACCCGGATTTTCTCTTTTCCCCCAAATTAGAGCCCATACTTACCTAAACAAAATAGACCAAACCTGGATATAAGAGAAACCCGGATATAAGAGAGATTTTCTCTGGTCCCAAATTAGAGCCTGTGTTAATGTATATAAAATAGACCAAACCCGGATATAAGAGAGATTTTCTCTGGTCCCAAATTAGAGCCCATACTTACCTAAACAAAATAGACCAAACCTGGATATAAGAGAAACCCGGATATAAGAGATTTTCTCTGGTCCCAAATTAGAGCCCATACTTACCTAAACAAAATAGACCAAACCTGGATATAAGAGAAACCCGGATATAAGAGATTTTCTCTGGTCCCAAATTAGAGCCTGTGTTAATGTATATAAATTAGACCAAACCCAGATATAAGAGAAACCCGGATATAAGAGACTTCTTCTCCGGTCCCGACAACTCTCTTATATCCGGGTTACACTGTATAAATAAAATATATGTGTAAAGACATTGTAAATAAAACACAGAAACAACTGTCATTATATATATATATATATATATATATAATTTTTTTCCTTGATAAAATCCAAAGAAGAATCTGCAATGTTTTGATCCTGACCTTGCACCTCAGCTTCAATTACTTTCCCCACTGCTGCAATGTATCTTCCTTGGGCCTTTTCCACAAATATTTTTATGGCAATTGTTCCAATGAGCTTTCCTCTTTGACACCTTGACTTTATGAATTTAAGAGAAATACTAGATTGGCAGTTATTTTACAGTTGAAATGGCTCACTCTAACTGTAAATTAACAGTTTCTTCTCTTGTACTTTTTGCTTGTGAAACTCTTTTTAGGCTTCTTGCATTCCTGTCAACTTCCATCTTCAAAAATCTCAGCGCAATGTCAATTGTTATCTTGTCTTCTTAATTCCTGTTCTTTTATTGTTCTCTCTCCTTAATAATGATTTTCTTTTTCTAATATTTTCAAACTCAGTAACTACTTTTGTTTTAGTGGCTTTACTGCCTTTCTTGATATGAAATGATTAAAATTAAATAAATAAAATTATTAAATGTCTTCTTATCCTATGATGAAGTTTATGCTTGCACCGGGGCCAGTGTAACCAATGGTTGCGGGTGCTCAGGCAATTTTTGTTCCTAGCCCAGGTGTACATGCTTGGGCTCCCAACATTAAACCGACCTTGTTTCACAACCTGACCTCATGGGGGTTTGAGTAAATACAAATTACTCCCGAGTAAAAGAAACAAAAGAAGAAAGATTGAAGTGTTTAACAACTCCTTTGAATACCCCGTAAATAATGGACTGTTCTGTTTTGATCATGTGGAAAGAGGGGAATTCATGACAGGCCTGTACATTCTCAAAAATTACCCAGCTGGAATTGTTTTGAAAAATCCTATCTAGATTAATCCCATTCTACAAACTATGTAATTTCATTGCTAAATGATGACCAACATTTCAGTCTGGTCTGGGCTGAGTCATTAGGTGGATGATTGTTGCTAGTTAGGGGTCAGGGTTCACTCAATAATGGAAACAACTGGAGTCTAAATGAAACTAGATGGCAAAATACGCTTCGATTAGTTTTGTTCCAGTTCTCGTTTGATTTCAGTCAGAATCTATGCGGCTGTTAAATTTTCGACAAATACACAAAGCCATCCTGAGTATGACGATAAACTGCATCCACCTCCTGGGTAAGACAATAAACTATGTCCAACAGCAAGGCCTCTGGTCAGGAGGTTTTGAGGAGTGTGGAACCACCTCTTAATTGCTGGTGTTCCCAGATCCACTCTGACCTGCGGTGGTAGCACCTGTTAGAGTCCCAGCTATGGGTAAATAGTTAACCTCAAAACTGGGGCAAAAACACTATGAAAGTGTAAAAATAGGTTTTAATACCAGAAATACTTTGTAAAAAAATTGTTACCAGCAATAAATTTTTGAAGGAAAAAAAATATTACCAACAATATGTTTTTGAAGAAAAAATATTACCAACTATACATTTTTGGTTTGGTTTATTTTGTTTTACGGCATATCAACCTCAATGGGTTATTTAATGCCAACAACATTTTTAGGATAGATTCGTATAAATAGAGTATGTATTCTTTGGTTTAGATTGGTTTGGTTTATTTCGTTTTACAGCATATCAACCCCAATGGGTTATTTAATGTGGACAAAAATTTTTATTGCTGGTAATATTTTGTTTTGTTAAAAATCTGTTCTGGTAATATATTTCCTTCAAAATTGTATTGCTCGTAATAATTTTTTTCAAAAAAAGTATTGCTGGTGATACTTAACTATTTGCCCATAGCAGGGACCCTAACAGGTGCTACCACTTTGGGTGAGAGTGGACCTGGGAACACCAGCAATTAAGAGGTGGTTCCACACTCCTCAAAACCTCCTGATCAGTGCTGCTGGACGTAGTTTAACGTCTTACCCAGGATGCAGATGTAGTTTAATGTCTTACCATACTTTTTTGAAGGAAAAATATTACCAGAAATAGATTTTTGATAAAACAAAATATTATCAGCAAAAAAATTTTTTGGCATTAAATAACCCATTGAGGTTGATATGCCATAAAACAAATCAAACCAAATCGAGTACGCAAAGAGCTTTTAGCAACAAGACCTACATGAAAGAGAGGAAACTCAAGCAAGTCCAAGCCTGGTCAGTACCTAGATGGGTGACTGCTTGGGAATACCAAGTGCTGCAAGCTTGAATGTGCAGCTGGTGTAATGGATAACAATCCTGAATTGTTAATTGTACAAATGAGTTCCAATTCCAGCTAGTTTACTTATATTCACTTACAAATACCCTTGGGGAAAAGCATGACTCCAGCTCTCCCTCTGAGCTATGGGTTAATTAATAATTAAATAGGACTTCTATCATTAAATCATTATTTAAAAAAAAAAAAATAAATAAAATAAAAATTTAATCTAAAAATATATCCTGGCTTTAAATAACCTGAAAAAGGTTGATAAGCCCTAAAAACAAATCAATGAAATCAATATCACTGCCACAAATCACTCTTCTGTTGAATAGAGGGTAATGTCCACAAGCAAAATAACGTTACACACTTATCTATATACATATATATCTATATTCACAATAAATTCATAGTTGAGTTGACAAGTGTTTGCAATCTTTCTTGGAGTTTACCCTCTCGTGTGATCACCATTCGAGCCTGAATCCTGGTGAAGTTACCACAATCTCACAGTAGAATTCAATTCTGCTGTGGGATACACAACATTTTGAAAAGAAAGTCCTGCCACTGGCCGGCACTGTTAGGAATGCTATCATCCGGAGGTAACCCATACAGCTATACGAGAATACAGCGATGCTGTTGAACCCCTTATGATCAGGGTCTGTGAACTGTTACAGAAGTCAGAAACCATAGAAAGAGAATGGTCACTGACTATTCCCAGACAGTTAACAAATACACACTGCAACATGCATACCAAATGCCCAATATTGAAAGTACTGTCAACCAGCTAAGCCCAATACAAGTACTTCAGCACAATAGATTTAAAAAGTGCATTTCACCAAATCCCACTGCATCCTGATGACAAGCCTTATACAGCTTTCCAGTCTGGGGGTCAGCTCTACCTATTTACCAGCATGCCGTTTGGTGTGACTAATGAGACTGCTTGTTTCTAAAGAAAGATGGATGAATTCATCAGGCAACATGATCTACTGGACACATATGTCTATGTTGACAATCTAATAATCTGCGACACCACTGGAAAAACAATGCTAAATTTCAACATTTCCAAAATGCTGCCAAACTGGACAACTATACAATGAAGAGAAATGCAAACATTCTACCCAGACACTTTATCACTTGGAATATCACATATCTGAAGAGATTATCAAGCCCAACCCAGAGTGTCTGCAAGCATTAATGGAACTACCTGCTCCCCCATACCCAAAGTCCTTAGAACATATCATTGGAATGTCTGCATATTATGCAAGACAGATCAAGAAATTTTCTGACAAAATCAAATAATTAAAAGCAACCCACAGTTTTCAACTATCAGGGAAGGCCTTGTTAGCCTTCCAGACACTAAAAACTAACCTGACAGATCCCAGCCTGACTGCAATCAGTGATAAATTGTCATAGAAATTAATGCATTATACAACTCTGTGTCAGCAGTACTCACTCCGGACAATCGACTAGTTGCTTTTCATTCAAGATCACTGTAAGGTAATGAGTTAAACTATGCACTGGTAGAGAAAGAGGCTCTTGCAATAATTGATGCTGTTGAGAAATGGAGGCACCTCCTAAATGGTAGACACATCATTTTAAAAAAAAAAAGTTGAATTATTACAGAAAAGGTATGCCTCATGTCATTGTTGCACAGATTGTAAGAAATACAAATCAGTAATGTGGGGCTTTTTCTTAACTATGGTTGAAACAAACCTATTCATCATTTGTCTTTTGATTTAGGTTTGCCAAAAGAGAAGAAATACAACTTATTAAAAAAAAAGAAAAAGAAAATGTCTTTTGTCTCTCTCACCTGATTCCAGATTGGAGTCATTTTTATTTTCATCACCACTATCTATCTCTGCAATAAAGGAGGGGGACAACTGGTCGTTTTCTTCTGTTTTTGAAATGTCCATGTCATCTTCAAAGCAGAGCGGCGGAATTTTGTCTAATGTCTGAGAAGCATCATCTGTGGTACACGACTTTCCTGGAAAAAAAAAAAAAAAAAAAAAAAAAAAAAACAAATTTACTCGGTTTTATAAAATACATTTATTCATTAATTTTAAGCATTCTCCTCCCAGTATTAATTCGTTAAATATTGGAATTGCACCAATTAATTACTGTTAAATGTGATTACTCTCAATCAATATTGGAAAAAAAAAAAAAAAAAAAATTTTCATATGTAACTAGACGATTCTTAAAGCAAGAACAAAATTTCTGATGTAATCAAGATTACTGATTTGTTTTCTATGGTTTCTCAACTCTTTACATGTTATTTAAAGCCAGAATTATTTTTAGATTGTAAGAAATTTTTTTTTTTTTAAAATAATGATTTGAATATTAAAATTAACGTTAAAACAAAATAAATTAGAAATAACAATGTCGGATTTAATCCATTTTCTAAAAATAAATCGTCTTTGTTTACATTAGGACGCAATACAGAGCAGATATAGATGTTTCGAGAATCGACAGAGAAGTATGTGTTCAAAAGCACTATTTAGGCTTTGTTTGACTGAAAACCTATGTGACCGAGTGTTCAGGCATATCAGATTCAAATCCTGTTGGAGAACACATATTTTTCTGACAAGATTTCTCAATTATTCAGGTCGGTAGATGTAGTTGGATAAAAAATACTGTTTAACTAAAAATAAAAAACAGAGCTTCTACTCAAATACAAGTAGCCATCAAAAATAACATTTAAACAAAATAAATTAAACGCACACACACACACATATATATATATATATATATATATATATATATATATATATATATAGTTTATATGTTATTTTTATAGATACAACTTATTTAAGTGAATGCTCTGTTTTTTAAATAAACAGTATTAATTACATCTATCGGCCTGAATGTTCAAGAAACTTCATAGAAAATATGCTTTCTCCAATAGGATTCGAACCTGTGTCTTATACAGAACCATCAAGTGATCCAATGTGCTATACCACTCAGCTACAGAGAAGTGTCTGGTTAGCAAAGTACAAATTACTGTTTATAAACAGCAAATCTTCAATGATCTTAATGCCAATGTTTTTTTTCTCCAAATAAAGTCTTGTATTCAAACAGTCAAAATGTTTTATTTTAAATAGACTACCATTTGTTATGGCTACACTTTTTCAGTATATTTTTGAAATCAGTTTAATTTCTCTTAGAAACTGAAATATGTAAAGTGAATCAGTATTTTGTAAAAGTTATTTTAAGTTTCTTGTTTGGTATTAAGCAGATTGAATTAAAATTGCTGCAGTGTATCAGTATGTGTTTTATGGTGAATAGCTCTTGGCATGCCACACATACCATAAAATTATAAATCCCCAGCCCTCTAAGATTAGAGTGTAGCATTTATTCCACTTTCTGTGTTGTATTACTGGGACTGAATGATGTGTCTAGTCCTAGGGATTCCAATCTTGTGACAGCACCTACCATTCATTGTATTAGTATGAATTGAACTCAGCAGAAATTCTAACTGTCCACTGGTTTTTGTTTCCTGTGATGGCGATTGTTATGCCCCTCTACACCTTGTTTTGTGTAAAGATTATTTTATTTTGTGTCCCTGATTTACTTTTTCTGTCGGCAGATCTAGTTGGTGCCAAACTTCATCTGAATATGTACTTTTTATTTTACTGTAAGAATTTTCTTTAATACCTTTAGTATTCAATGTGTCTAAACCAGCCCAGTAAATATTGGCTCTTAAAATCTCACTGTTTGTGGTCAAAGTCTCACTGTTTGTGTGACTTCCTGTGATGTTGTCCCATATTATGGCAGAGTATACTTGGGGTGGGTTGAACATTGAGTGACGATATTTACTGTGCAGGTTGAATACTAAAAGGCTTAAAGAAGGTTGCTGTTGATATTCCATATTATTTTGAATTTTTAGTAGTAATATTATTTAAAAATTATTAAATGATGCATTGTTACACAGGAATAATTTTTGACTTATGTGAGGAGTGCTAAAAATTTCTTGGCCTGAGCAAGAAACCACTAACATAGAAATACTGATATTTGATAATTTTGTGAAATTTTTTGAGTCAGCCAGAGAAATTTTCAGTACGTCTTTGTATTTCTTTCATTTTAATTTCACCCTTTTTGTTATTACATTACATTAGTAATGTTCTTGAATTATTATTATATGAATCATTGTCAAGTATTATAAAGAGAACCTGACCCTCAAAGTACATATTAAAAGTGATAGAGACAATGACAAAAAGAGACTAATCTTAATGACCTTGTGTAAATGATTGGCAAAACAAGAGGTATGAAGGGTAGTTAAAAACAAAACAGTTTTTCTCTCCTGAATCTATCTTGCATATTTATAAGTCTACCATTAACCCAGGCTTTGAATATTGCTGCTACATATGGTCTGGTGCTCCTGATATATATTTAGACATTCTTGATAAAATCCAAAGAAGAATCAGCATCTCAGCTTCAGTCACTTTTCCACCATAAAGTAGCTTTCCTGTGCCTTTCCTATAAATATTATCATGATTGGCGTAATTTGAATTTACTCTCTCTCTCAATAAAAGGCTCAGAAAATATCTTCCATGTCTCATCTATTAAGTTGAGATATCCGATAGGCTAATGTTAATCCAGACATTGTAGACTACTATTACTTGTACCCAGTCTAATTTCTTGCTGCAGCAATATTAAAAGCAAATAGGGTGGTAAGTTTTCTCATATATCATCTGACATGGTATACCGTACAGATTTTTTTGCCACCATTTATTTACCGGTGTGGACATTTAATCAAGGTATTCTTCTATATCAAAAACATTCAATAAAAAATATTTTATACAAGCATTCTTAGGTAAATTAATGACAAAGTGGAAAAAATGCAATGTAACACGTTTCAACTTCTAAAAGGCCTTCATCAAACTAAAATAATGTTCTTATTGATGTAATTATATGTAGGGGGAAGGGGGGGGGTGATATGAATGTAAATGTTGGTTATAATTATGCACTGAGGGTGAAATGATGAAAATGTAGGATGCTAAATTTTAAGATTTCTGGTGTTCATCATGTATAGACATGCAACTGTTCTCATTCAAGAGTTTTTGTTTTTATTGCTGTTGTTTTTAAGTATTCCACATTGTGACAACAAAAGTAACCCCATGCGTGTTCGTGGTAAATGCCTTGCGAATCCATTACATTCACTTATGTGTTAATACCCTTGGGGAAAAGATGAATCCTCTTCTCCTACCAGCTATGAGTAAATAGCAGGGCAGATCGAGTTCTATAGCCTTGGATGGCAACAATTACGTAAAGTTAAATGTTATTAATTTGCCTATCTGAATAACCATTAAAACTCTAAACAAGAGTTGCTGGTAATTATTTATGTAATTAAAAAGAAAGAAGAAAAAAAAAGAAAGAAGAAAAAAAAAGAAAGAAGAAAAAAAAAAAAAAAAAAAAAAAGAAGAAAAAAAAAAAAAGAAAAAAAAAAAAGAGAAGAAAATCAAGAAACTCCATAAGCTATCTAAAGATGGCAGAATGGGAGTAACAAAAAAAATTACTGTATTTCTGAGGCAACTGATAAGTAATGGGTGTACGTTCTATTCCTTCAGAAGGTGATCGAGGGTCCAGAATTGTATGGACTGGGTCAGCCACCATTATTGGCGTCCTATTGATATCCAGGGATGGTGAACGTGGGTCATGAAAGTGGCATGTATTTTTGCATGCTTCAGGACTTGGATATGCTGACTCCACATCAATTGAATGGCTTAGAAATCCTCCCATGATTCTAAAAAAGATCAAAGAAAAGAACATACAAAGGAAACCTTTCAGGGTGCTAAACATGTAAATTTTATGTAACAAATTTTACCACAAATTAGGTAAAGTTTTTTTTAGTAAAATTTTAGTTTTATTTGAAAGATATAGCCTAATGCTAGTCTGTATGAAAAGAAAACAAATTTCCATATGTAAATAAAGATTTTAGACATTTTTAAAATGTTTGCTCATCATACCACCATTAAACAATGAATATAAAGATTTCTTAAAAGTCCAATATTTATCCTAGAAATGTGTTTCAAGGTAAATTAGTAAAATTAGGGATTAATTAACTGGACTTTGTATAAGCAATGCTTACTTTTTGTTTAAAACATCATGAAAATAACATTTATGCATGGTAAACCTGTGATAGGTCAACGACAATAATTTTTTTTTTACTGCAATTCCTGACTAATAAATAGAAAAATAAAAATGGAACACCAGCAATGCAATAATCAAGAAATTATTGTTTAAGTTTTAAAATAAATTATCTTTTTTAACCTTATGTAATCAATATTTTAAGAAGTAATTTTTTTTATTCTATCTATCTAAACTAGTTATTTCCGAGTTTAAGTAATTGCTTTTTTTTATTTTTTTTATTCAAGATTTTTCATTTTACAAAAAACTTAGGTAGGTATTTCTGGTAACTTTGATAATTCCCTGATATTTCGTAGCGATTTTTTTCCTTTCATTTCGGGAAAAAAAACGCATCGATTTTTTTTTTGGCAGTATCTCTCTCTAGCTAGAAAGAACCCATCAAAATTCACTGAAGCTCAATCCATAGTAACTGGTAAAAAAAAACAACTTTTCTTTTACAAGTGCTAAAAACTAAAACTATTGTGTAACATCACTTCTCTCTCTCTCTACTAAGCGTGATGAATTTATATTGTCTGATTTAGCGTTTCAAACAATTTTTACTTAATACTGCTTTATCTCCCTTACATCTGATATAACTGCAGTAATTCATTTCTCAATTAGTATTTAATTTAAAAAGATTTTATAAATATTTAATAATAATAAATTTAAACGAAACTATTTGTCACTCACATTCTTTAAAAAAGTCTTATTTAAATTAAAAGGTTAAAAAAAAATAATACAGACTTTGTATTATTATTATTATTATTTGTTATTGTATTTACAAAGTAACAAAAAAGTTTTTTTCGGTTGCGGGGGGGGTAGAAACTCAAATTTCTTCACACTAGGGATGTGCTTTACATCCATCCATGTATTTAAAAAAAATCGCATTCGTTCTTTCAATACTTTTTAGTTCACACACTTTGAATAATACCTCTTTTTATTTAAACAAATGGAAATATAATTTGTTAATTACTAAAATAAATTGTGACAAAAGATGAAAGTGACAGCAATATAAAGTTTTTTTTTCAAGTACGGAAAACAGTCAATTCGTTGGGGGGAAAAAAAACACCATGCTGATTGTCATGATTTAAGAAATCGTTCTGAAAATATGACCATTCAAAAATAAAGAAATAAGCTTGCATTTCTTTTGTAGTTCTCAGTGATCTTTAAGAAACGTTTTCCTTAAAATTCAGTACTTTCTAAAAAGAAGTTAATTTAAAAAGATTATTCTTATTTTTTTAAGTTAGTTTCCGAAATCCTCCTGGCAATAGAAAGTGCAGGCTACATCGATAGATAGATGAGAAATTGTCATTTATTCAGTCAACGAACCTTTAAATACAAAACGAAGGTCTTTTTTTTTCTCTGTAAAAAAAAAACAAGGCAATGAAATAATTTGAAACTGAAAGTTATGTAGATTAGCATCTTCATAAAGTTACATCGGAAAATTCAATATCCATTTTTCATAAAATATCAAATATTTATATAATTAATGCTAACAAAAAAAAAATTAAAATTGTAAAAGTTCATCTTTACTACTCATTGTTAAATAAATGCATTTAGCTGGTGATTGTAAATATGACATTTAGGGTTGTTAAAAGTAGTCATGTTAGTTAAAAAGTTTAATGAGGGCATTAGGGAAAGCGGACATTTCAGTTTTTTTTTTTGTTTAAATTTAAATGGATTTTCAGTTTTTTCGGTTAATATTTCATGAAGCTGAGTATAAACATTTTTGGTTTTAACGATCAACAATTATTTTTTAGTAAGTTGTATAGGAAAATATGTCCAAAAAATCTTTACATTGTACCTACCTTTTCTTATTTCAAAATCCACAGAAGTTGTTTACACAATAATACAAATTTTTAAATTTAGCGGTCCCGACCAATCAGAAAGCATGATGCAAATTTTTTTTAAACTGTTGTTACAGGATCGTTGATTAGTTGAACTAAGGCTATCAGGGGAAATAACTCCATTTACGCATTTCAATTTTGTGAGTAACGTATTCATTCTAAAATTGTTACGTCTTACAATGAGTAATTAGAATTTTGCCAGGTTGATTTCGTAAGAAAAAAAATAGTCTCATGGAAAAACAATCAGGTTATTTGTGGAATAAAGAGACTAGTTTTCTTTTTACAAATGACTAAAGTTTTTATTCACAATTAAAAAAAATTCAATTTTGAGGATTTATTTTTAAAAGGAAGAAAATAGCCTATTTTATTTGAAAAAAAAAATCTGGAAAATAAAGTTTCCAGCGGTACACTCTCACCAAAAGAGTGGAAGCACTTGCTTGCTGGTTATTGTGCTTTTTGGGCTTAGGCCTTGTTAATAGACAAAACTGTCTTTGTTAACCAGTCATAGGTGCTGCTTCGACACCCAACTGTGTTATTTAATTTGGGATTCTAATTTTTTTGAAAGATAGACCTCCATCCGTCCGTCTCGGTCGAAGATTAGCAGAATTTTCGAGAAATCTTTATGTAGAATTGTACTATCATATATTTTTTTTTTAAAAGATAATATTTTTTCGAAAAAGGCCTCACTAGTATATGGCATAAAATTTGTGAACTAATTTAAAAATTTTACAATAAAATTTAAAAATATGATGTAACAGTTGTAACTGCAACCAGTTCCAGATTCCGAAATACCTAAAAAAACACTCTTTATTTTATTTTTTTTTAATTAAATTTTATAAAAGTAAATAGCGGGGTCCAGTTTATGTAAAAAAATTCTTTGTAAATCGCCCCCCACCCAGCCTACAGAAACAAAAACAAAGATATGCTCATGCGACCTGATTTCTTTAAAATAGGTACCCCCACCCAAGAGTTATCTATTTTTGGTCCAAACAAAAATGGATGTTTTTTTTTCTTTTGAAATGAAAGCAAAAAGTCACTAACCCCAGTTTTAAAATATTTGCCAAAAATGAAGGAATTATCCGATTATAAAGAACAAATTGTAATGGGTTAACCGTTATCTAATAGAAAACCTTGTGGAAATATTTTTGTGGGGATTTGTTTCACCGCTCCCCCTTTTCGATATTTCGTACGTACACTTTAATGGGGGGGGGCAGTTTTTTTTTTACACTTATAATGAAAAAACCCTGAAGATTTACTGAAAAGATGTAAAGATTTTTTATTAGTTATTGCATAAAGAATACAATTGTGCATGTGTGTTTGGAGGCATGTAGCCAGTTTAAACTCTAAAAAGCTACAATATTTTTAGACCAGTGTTTCTCAACCTTTTTTTTACTTCAGGGTGCACTTATAGAATAACTATAACTAAGACTCTGGGGTGTACTTTAAATTTTAATAAGGAAAAATTAGTCATCAAATTTGAAAATAGGAAAATAAGTCTCCTGAGGCACTGAAGAATGTTGTGCAAGACATGCTACAACATGTCTGGCAGGAGCTGGACTACCAGCTCGACATGTGCTGCATCACAGGTGGTGTGCATATTGAACATTTGTGAAATCGGTTATAAAATCTACATCCCTTTGAATATCTTGTTCAAATTTTGATAAATAAATCTTTTATTGTTTACCATGAATCTTTTTTAATTTTTGTTTGGGACATGTAGTTACTCAGATAGTCATACATTGACATCATCTTGCAGTCTAATAACATAGACAATTCTTGCTCAAATGATCTTAAAATTTAACAAAATGTGTAAAAACTAAGTTGACTATGCAGATTTATCTTAATGAGAATCTACCAGGAAGATAGATTGGCCATGCCAGTGATAATAATAATGTGTTGTTGAAATACCTACCACGTTCACCTGACTTGAAATCTTTTTTTTTTCTATAGGGTTATGTGAAAGGACAGGTCTATATCCCCCCATCTCTTCCTACAAACCTAGACGAACAAGCAGAGAATCACTGAGGTGCTTAAGTATGTTACGCAAGACATGCTACAGAGTATTTGACAGGAGCTGGACTACCTACTTGATATGTGTCGTATCACAGATGGTGTGCATATTGAGCATTTGTGAAGCTTGTGAATTCAGTTATACATACAAATTTTGATAAATAAATCTTTTATTGTTCAACATGAAGCCTATTTAATTTTCTTTGCCTGGGATATGTAGTTACTCAGATATTCACCTTTTAAATGATGTCAATTTTGTGGGGGCACATCCTCTCTATTCACTATTATTCACTATTATTTACAATGCATTGCTACCACTTATCATAAGTGAGATGCTTCACTATTTAGATTAGAATTACTGGAATTTATCATCTAAATATTGTCTTATCACCAGCTTCTCTGAAAATTGGTATCACTTTTACCTGTACATAAACTAGCATTGTTTGAAATGTTATCTGCAGAGGTTTTATAAGAATTTTATAGCTACCAAATCCAATTTCTTGTGTCAAACACAAAAACTTAGTAGAAATAGCAAGACATAATAATAAGCACAAAATTACAACAACAAACACTGTGTAAAATTTTTAAAGAAAAAACACATTACAAGGTAAAAATTTGCACAAAAATTTCATTTGTGTGCCTATTAAAGCAGGATAACAATTTCAGATAAAAGGAGTACCAATGAAAAATGGGAAAAAATTACAATTTGGGAAAAGACAAGGATTTTGAAAATGACAAAAAGAGGAAACAATACAAGAAGGCAATAAAAGCAAAGGTGCAACAGCCTTTGAGAAAGAATAAAAGGACCTACATTTACTTGTCCCCCTGAGCGTCTCTGGAACAGAGAGTAATTTTTTTGAAAAGTTTTTTTTAGTTATAACTTCATACAGTTGGTGCTTAGGAAAATTTCTTAGAATTCTTTTCATTCTTGGCTACCCAACAAACAGGAGAAAGTTGGGGACAGTAGTATAGATTGTCCAACTGTCAAACTCTCTGCCTCAGCAGAGAGGAACCCGGATGAAGCTTTGCTGAAGGTCAAAGTTTTGTCCGGGAAGGTAGACATTCCCTGAACCTGTTTAGGTGGCTTGAAAGGGAATATTTTTGGTTGAGCCTACGAGCTCAGAGTACCCACAATAAACCGGCCTTGTACCACATACACCCTCGTGTGGGGGCTGTTAAATATTAACAAACAGGAGAATTTTCACTTGAACTTTTGGTCTCTCTACTGCTGGCCAGTAACTGGTTCCTTTTTTGATGTTCCCTTCTTGATGTCAAATGTCTTCTTTGATGTTCCCTTCTTGATGTCAAATGTCTTCTGTGATGTTCCCTTCTTGATGTTAAATGTCTTCTTTGATGTTCCCTTCTTGATGTCAAATGTCTTCTTTGATGTTCCCTTCTTGATGTCAAATGTCTTCTGTGATGTTCCCTTCTTGATGTTAAATGTCTTCTTTGATGTTCCCTTCTTGATGTCAAATGTCTTCTTTGATGTTCCCTTCTTGATGTTAAATGTCTTCTTTGATGTTGACAACCTGCCTTCTCCACTTGCTGTCAAAAAGTCTCCTCCCTGCATCTAATGACCTGAACTCTATTTTTAAAAATTAGGCTCACATCTGCCCCACTATTTGGTTGGTTTGGTTTGTTTGGTTTTATGGCATATCAACACCTCAATGGGTTATTTAATGCCGACAAGATTTCTATTGCTGCTAATATTTTTCCAAAAATGTATTGCTGGTAATATATTTTTTTTCTTCAAAAATGTAATGCTGGTAATAATTATTTACAAAAATGTATTGCTGGTAATATTTTTTCTTCAAAAATGTTTTGCTGGTAATATTTTTTCCTCAAAAAATTCATTGTGGTATTAAAACCTATTTTTACACTTTCACAGTGCTTTAACCCCAGTTTGGGAGTTAACTATTTGCCCATAGCTGGGACCCTAACAGGTGCTACCACCTCAGGTCAGGGTGGACCTGGGAACACCAGAAATTAAGAGGTGGTTTGACGCTCGTCAAAACCTCCTTGCTGTTGGATGTAGTTTATTGTCTTACCCAGGATGCCAGATGAAGTTTATTGTCAAACCCAGGACACCCCACTATTTGGGATGTTACTACAGCTTGAGACCAGGTCTCTTATTGGTCAGTATATACAGGGTGTCCATTAGGTTCATGTGCACTTTAAAAAATTTATAACTTGATTTGTATTTGCGATAGAAATAATCTGTAAAAAATGTTATAAAGTTTAATGTACCTAGTTTTAAGTATAGCTAAAATAACTAACGTGATTTCAGGCATTACTGTAAATCAGTTGGCAAATGTTTTGGTGAACTGCAAAATCGTATTACCCTTTGTATTGCTAATGATGGAGGACATGTGGAAACTTAAATAAAATTTCGATAAAACATTAAAAAATATAGATTTACTTCTTTGTAATCCTTTTTACAAATTATTTCTATGGCAAAGACAAATAAAGTTATAAATAACTTTATGCACACCCTGTATATAAAAAAATAATGTTCCATAATCTGGAAATGGATCCTTCAAAAATTTTGGCAAGTTGTAACTGATGAGCTAAAAGAGATAGACAACTGTAACAATTTTTAACGCAAACTGTCTGGCCTTCATAAAAATACACTTATCTCAAATGAACAAGTACTAAAAAAAAACAACCTAGATGATTATCATTTTATACAATGCTAACATTTTTAAAATAATAAAAATAAAATTTTTCTAGTTTTGCTAATTTTTATTATTAAAAATACTTCTACTTACAAATGTTTGCATATAATATTACATTTTTCCAACTGATACTTGCTTATTAATAATAAATAATTTTTAAAAAATCATTTCACTTCAAGCAAGGCAATGCCACTAGGACGCAGGGGTTACAGGGAGTGAAACAAAATGAGAAACTTTAGCTTACTTTCACATGTCACTTGAAAGGCTTGAACAAATAAAACTAGGATATGTTGGAGTAAAGGAACTGATTAATTAAATGGTTCATTTTGCTTATGAAGTAATTTTGTCTCAATGCATATATTTTATTTGTATATATTATTAAAATTACTAAGGGAAGTAATCACTCGTAAATTTATTAACTTAAGTTGATTTACCTCCCTTTCCACTACAAATTTTTTTTTTAAATACTATGTCCCTAAGAGAAAAAGGTGTTCATGGCTTCCCACAGATTTATTTTCCATTATTATTTTTGAATTGCTATAACATTTGGAAAGATGTGGAGTTGTGGAGAAAATGGAACAAAACCAATAAATAATAATCATATTTATTATAAAACCCAGGTTGTTCGTGTGTGTGTGTGTGTGTTCATTTATATATGGGATTGGATTTGCTACATTTTTCAACTGATTTCAACAAAACTTCACTTTTTTTTTGGCAGGTAGTGTTTCTTATTGTCTTGCACACTTTTTTCTTTATTTTTACATTCAGAATGCTTTAAAAATTCCATTTACAAGACAATTGTTTATAATAAAATTCTATTGAGTTATGAGTCTACCGATTGAAAACAATGTTTTTGTTTGAGTTTGGGTTTTACCAATTCATAAAAAAAAACAAAAACAAAAACAAAAAAAAAACCTAATTAAGATATGCGTGTCCGTCAACCTTAAACAATAATCTCTGTCAATTTTATTTTTCAGTCTTTATGATGGTCGATACTTGATCTATCTCTTACTGTTACATCCCCGAGCAATGCCGGGCTATACTGTTAGTAACATATAAAAAAAAAAAAATGTATTAATTTTCCCACAATGCAAAATTTCTGGTCACATGTGTGATTTTATGACCTCACTTTCAGAAAGGACAGAATTTTGCTCTTTCTCATCTTGGCTTCAAGATGGTAATAGCGTTCCAATTGGGGAATGTTAGTTTTTCTGGCCCACTAACGACTGAACTTTTTTCCACTTACCAGCAACGTTTGATGTGTTCTAGCAGCCCTACTCATGAAGTATAGGTTTGGTCTTCCCAACTTAGCACAAAGCTGACTTGAGCTGGACCAGCTTTACCTGTTCATATCCTTACTTCCCATAAATAAATTTTGAACCAAAAAGGAAAATGAACATACTCAAAAGATACTTAACTTTGTTTCAATACAGTCAACATAAAAGAAATAAATGGCCATAGCAGAAACTCAAGATCTTTTGTATCCTTCTTCTCTTTTTTTGTTTTGTTTACATATTGAACACGCACCTTCACCTAAAAAATACATGCAAAACCTACAACCTTGTTAACATCCACAGAGTAGTTTTACTGTTGCCTTTGTCATAGTTTAGAATCCAGAGTTTTCTTTTTCTTAGACTGGCTGTCACCTAAAGCTAGAGAGCCCAGTCTACTCTGCTATTTAAACTTTAAACCATAGCTGGTGGTAGTGAGGAATTAATTCATATCATTCCCAAGAACATTGAAGTGAATCCAACAGACTAGGAAGTCCATAACTATTACAATACCTGTACAGACCCACAGCAACACTAGTTTGAATGCAACCTGGTGTTCCAAAGTGAGTTGTCTTTCATACTTTTTCATCATTGATTTATTTTTACCTATATTTTTTGGATTACTAAGATGGATTTGAATCAACCCACAACAAAGAAAAGAAGCAAGAAAGGTTTTAAAATATTATTTTCTTTGTGTTTTTACAACTAAAATTTACTTTGCGTGTATGAGTAAGTTCTTTTAGTCCTTGTTTGTAGCTGCTTGTTAAGATGAAAAGAAATGTGATTTCTTCCTGTGTACGTGTGAGAATAAAGAGGCACGGGAAAATGTGTCACTTAGTTTGGTAAAGGAAGATGGGTGAATGAATAAGCTGCACCCTAATGAACTGTTGCATTATGTTACCATCCCTTCTCCTCACTGGCTTGTCTAGTCTAGAAACATTGCTTATACCCTTCAAAGGGATCATAAAGCATTTTTTATTTTTTTTATTTTTGATGGGAACATGACCCATTGGCTGAGAAACGTTAAATATTTATTTTCAAAAGATAAATTAATTAACTGAAAGGATGCGTAAAACCTTTGACTCAGAAACCATTTTTTGTCATCTGCTGTTTATTTCCGTCTTCACCCCACAGATGTGATGGTTCATTGGTTACCTTTAGCAACAAGAATATAAAATTAATTTGTTTTCAGAACAAAAAAAAAAAAGAAAAAAAAAAGGAAGGTGAGGAGGTTAAAATAAACAGAAGTGGGAAATAAAATAAGTGGGAGTTATGGAATAACAGTGAGTAGGTTGGAAGAAAAAAAAATCTAAATTTAAATAGCCGGACAGGTCCGTATATTCCAGACACGAGATTGGTTCGTTTGTTATCTTACTGGTGTCCCACACTTGTTGACTAAAAAAAAAAAAAAAGACAAGATTGTTGTTTTTTAACTACTGTAGACAGTTTCTTCTTTAGAATGAATTTCTTGTTAACTTTTATTTTGTCTATTCAGAAATTTTAGTTTTTGCAAGAAGAGAACAATTTTTTCGGTGCCTTTTTTAACCCACATTTCACACATGTCCTCCATTTATTACTCTTTTTAAAATTCGCGCGATTGACCAATGAAAATCTTTGTTTCATTGAAGCCCAAGGTCCACTTAGTACGTTATCACTGATTTGTTGTTAACCACGTGAGGGAAAGATAACTCCACGGTCTTTGTGGTCTCTCGGAATGTCTATTTCATTTTAAAATCGTTTATAAACATCGTTATTTAACTGTAAGAAAAATATTGTTGTTGACATTTGCGATATAATAACAGCAAGCATAGAAATAATAACCTCACAAAGTATAATATCTTGAAGATGAAATTAAAAAGAAAAGCATAATGGTTACAGTTACGAAAAAAACTAAGAAAGCATATGAGGACCTTGTTTTAAATAATAATACTTTTTTGTGAAAATCACGTTTCATGCACACAGACTCACACAAGTCTCTGTAAAAAAAATAACTGAAAAAGGAAAAAAAACCGCTTGAAAAATAACATTAGCTAAGTCATCTTACTGAATATATAACAGATTAGTAAACAAGGGATCTAGATTGTCGGAAGTGAAAAGAAAAAAATATTTTTATTCGAGAAATTATCTTTATTTAGAAGGGGGACCTCTGCATATCTTCTTGTCTCTGGAGTTGTGAAGTCGGCATTTTTTGTGATTAAAGAAACAAGAAACTATGGCTGGACCCTTGTACGAAAACCTAAATAAGATAAAAATTCCTCTTGGAGGTGATAAAGTTTTTAAGGATGAATGTGCATATTCATTTGATACCCCGGTAAGTAGAAAAAAAAAACAGTATGTTAGTGTAAGTAAAATCAAATGTGTCTATACTCTATTACTTAAAAAAAAAAAAAAAAAAATACAGAGTTTTTATTGCTTCTTATTCATTAATTACTTCTATTTTATTTTTGTACTTGTATATTTTTTTTTATCTCATTTGTCTCTTAATAAGAAAAAATTAAAAAAAAAGCTCTTCTCTTTTTTTAGTAGTGTTCGTTTTGTAATTCTTAAATTTTTGTTTGATAAAATAAACTAAAAACATTTAAAAAAAAAAAATTTTCTGGTTTACCAACATAGAAAAATATTTTCTTAAAAATGATAAACTTGATAAGAAATGATCTATGTTGACGTGTGTAATAAAGTTAATTCATATTTTAAAATACGACTGTAAAAGTTCTTTCTGAATCGACTAAAAATGATAATGAAAACGTTAAAAAAAAGTCGGGGATCAATTCATGTTGTTGAAACTGTTGTAAATTGTTCCCCCACTTTATGATCTCATTTTTGACTTTTTTTCTAACATTCCACAAAGAAAAAAAATGTAGAAAGTTTTAACTGGATATTTCTTTTATAAAAAAAAAAAAAAAAAATTCATTCATTAACTAACAAACTAAACATTTGTATTGTGGGGATTTTTTTTTTTCGCTTTCACTTTCATTAAATTTAATTTTTTGCAATATGATTGAAATCATATGTGGAAATTATTTTTACCTGGCAATTAAAAAAAAAAATCACCTCATTTTAAGGAAAAAAATAACAGGTTTCAACCTTAAAATTGGATTTTTTTTTATCATTGTGCAAGTGATCCTTGATCGTATTATTTTTAACATATATGTATAATTAACTTTTATTCTGATCTCATAAAGAAGGTAAAAAAAAAAACAAACCCCCAAGACAACAACAGAAAAAAAATACCATTGTAAAACTGGTTGCTAATGTTTGGATTTGTGTGCCTGAGAACTTGTCCAGCATTATTTTAAATTTTTAAACGTCTAATAAAATTTTCAGGCGACTTTTTCTTCAACTATTTGTCAATCTACCTACACAATATATAAAAATTAAAAAGTTAAAATCTTTGATTTCGTAATGAAACTGCAAAAAAAATTATATTGAGATGAAAATATTTGTTTCGAAATAATTTGAATTTTTCTTCTTTTAATTAAACTTAAATTTTACTTAAAACTTTTAAAATTTCTTTAACCATAATAAAAATAAGTTTGTTTTAGGAAATCAAAGCCCCTCGTTCCAGATGGCTAGTATAATTTATTTAAAGACAAAAATAAATAAAAATCCTTGCTTTTTTTTTTTCTAATCACAATTAATTATTCAAAATTGTTTTTATTAGTTATAAAATTTGCTTCATTGACGTCTTGAAATGAAAGTTGACTTAGTTAAATTTAATTTCTGAGTAATTCATTCTCTAGTCTCATTTTTTAAAAGATAACAAATTACTTAGACTACGTCACATTCATTAAAAAAAAGTTACGTACCAGTTTTTTTTCATAACAAGTAAACCATTTTTATATTTTACTTTCTGAAAAAAGTGCATATTCAAAAAAAAAAAATCAATTTCTTTTTTATTTAATCATGCCATAATTAGTTTCAGATTTTATCGAAATCAAAATAATTTTCAATTTTTTTAACTACTTAAAAATAAAACACCCCACGTGGTCATTATTCAACTTATTTTTAAAAGTAGTACATAATAATAATGATTATTCGTTTGAAATCTAACCTTTTGTTTTTAAAATCAAATAAATTTTCAATCAAATTTATTAATCATTTCTCGTTTTACTAATAAATTCTTATTTCTGAGGACGATTGGTTTTGTAACGTTGTAAAATTTTGAAATGTTTTTTTTTTTTTTTTTTTTTTTTAAATGTAGAAAATTGTGACAGCAACAAACAAAGCATTGTCTAATGGAATGATTTTTTAAAAATTTCTAATTGATTTATGCATTTTCGTTTTCTAAATGCAGTTACTTTTTCTAGTCATCTTTAAAATCTTTTTATTTTTAATTAAAAATTGACGCTAATTTGGTAAAACAATGTTGATCTCCTCAGCCTACTTTTTTCTTCAATGTGTCTTCTTGTCTCATCAGGACATGGACGTTCGTGGCTCTCCACGATTTTCTGTCTGTTATAGCTCTTGGTAAAGTTTATATTTTTTGCTATATATCTCTCAAAATGGTTCTTCCAACCATTTTTACGCAAGTTCGTTAGGTAAGTTATTTTAATTAGTCTATTTCTGAGATGAGGTATTGTAATTATTATTTTTACACTACACAGTGTTCGGACTGTCGTCCGCATCATTATTACCATATTCACGACGTTTCGGACGTTGTACGCTCCGGCATTCTTCAGGTGATTGGAATTTCGAACTGAGCTGACCTGAACCCTTTATTTCGTTCATCAGGGTAGATTGTTTTAGTTCCACTTGCCATGCCTCTACCATATATTTCGGTTATTTCCCTTTGACTCAACTGTTCAAATTTTTGTTCACCACTGCAGTAGCCAGGTATTGAACTCACAACTCTTTGGGTCAACTCACTGGATCCAACCAACGCCTTTATCCACTGGCCTAGTCATTAATAAGGATGAGGACAACAATCTGTTGAACTGAACCCTTTATTTCGTTCATCAGGGTAGATTGTTCTAGTTCCACTTGCCATGCTTCTACTATATATTTCGGTTATCTCCCTTTGACTTAACTGTTTAAATTTTTGTTCTCCAATGCAGTAACCAAGTATTTTTGTCGTTTCTCATATGTTCAGTCCATGTTATTCTCAGCATTTGCTGCTGATAAGAGTTTCATACTTTTCTTTGTTTTTAATGAATTTTTCTTGTTTCTTAATACTCTGAAAGACACTTTCACTATCCCAAATTCAGGGGGAGGATCAACATTTCTGAGAATGTCTTTATGAATATGAAACATGGTAGCTATAATAAGTAAAGACAGATTTAATGCACTTTTTCTTTTTTCATATTCATAAAGACATTTAGTTAGACTATGATAAAATCATGAACTTCTATGCAAATAAGAATCCACAAAAATTGACTTTAGTAAATCCTCTTCCATAAACACTATATAATCACACTTTGAATCTAAAAGTTTGAATTTACAATTTTACATCTCAAATAAATGGAAAAAAAACACAAATTTAAATTTTATATATATCTTCAGATATGGCATTTGAGAGAAATCATGGGAAATTTGTAGTTTAAAGACAGTAACTTAAAAAAACTTGCTAACCAGATGCTTCCTCTGTAACTAAATGGTATAGCATGTCAGGCTATATGACGGTTTTGTGTTGGATACAGGTTTGATTCCTGTCAGAGGACACATATTTTGTATGAAATTTCTCGGACATTCAGGCCAGTAAATGTTGTTAATACTGTTTATTACAAACAGAGCATTTACTTAAGTAGTTGTATCTATGAAAATAACGTATAAATAAAAAATATATTAAAATAACTGTTTCATTAAATAAGATAGACAAGTTTTGTCTATTTTAAGTAAATTCCTTTCATATTGTCTGATAAGCTTAATAACATTATCATTGAAAGAAAAACGCCATATTGATACATGTTTTTTAATCCTTTCTAAGCTTTCGGCATACATAAGCCATTATCAAAGATGATGGTTATATTTCAATATATTAAACAATACATGGACAAAACAATAATGATAGTCTGTTTTTGTTGCATAAAAGATTTCCAAGCAATGACAAACTCGTGTATACAAGACGTGGGAGTGAAAATCGCACCACAGTTTGTGATGTCAAACATGACCACACGAGAGTGAAAACGAGAAGTATTAAGTATCAATATGGTGTTTTTCTTTCATCTTTCAATGATAATGTTATTAAGATTATCAGACAATATGAAAGGAATTTACTTAAAATAAATAGACAAAACTTGTCTATATTATTTAATGAAACATGCATTAATATATATATTTATAAATATAAATGACAATAGGAAAACTAGCAACTACTACAGTTTTTCTATTGTCATTTATATTTGTAAATATTGTCTTTTCTACAGGTTAACTCTGAGAAATTTTCATTATATATATATATATATATATATATATATATATATATATAAAAACACTCTACCCATTTGTAATATATATGATCACAGAATTTAAAATTTTGAATTGAGATTTTTACTGAGGAACACTCTGAAAATGCTGGATCTGCCCCTATGCACCTCCAGCTATTGGTGTTGTATTTTCCATACTGGTAAAACACTTTCTCGATTTTTGTATGTTTAATTTTATTCTCTTCAATTTTAATTCATATTTTGGGCTGCTGTTTTTGCTGACAACTGTATATTGTCTTTACTATTTCTTTTCCATTTCTTTTCCATTACTGACTTTTGTAGGAGTTCCTCTAGTTTCCTTTCTGTGTCTACTATCAATGCACTGTCATCTACATATCTAAGGTTGTTAAGATTGTGGCTGTCACTAATGAATCATGGAAGGACTTCTAATTCTCTTCATTGTAGATGTTGAATAAGTCCAGTGAGAAGTCACATCATTGTCATACCCTCCTTTCTATTTCTGTGTATTTTCTAAATTCATTTTCCTATCTGCGTGCAGGCGGATTACTCCCAGTATAGGTTCCAGATTATTCTATCCTTTGCAAATAAATCAAGTTTACCTAGCAGTACTAACATGACTGGTTAAGAAATAATTTCTGTTAAAAGTAGATATTGTGTCCTTGTCGAAAACACAATTTAAAAAAAAAAACAAAAATCATAAATTTTAAAAATGAAAAACTATTGAGATGTGTGTGTGTGTGTGTGTGTGTTTGTGTGTGTGTTTGTGTGTGTGTGTGTGTGTGTCTGGTATTCTTTCTGTGAAAAAATATAATTTATATAATAAAAAAAAATTGCATGAACATTTTGGATTGTGCAAGTCAATCACTGATCCAGTCCCCTACTTTTTGTATGCTTGTGTGCTAAGAAAAACTGATATTCATTATTCATCAAGGAAACCTCAGTTTGAAAAACAAAATTAAAATTAGATGCGCTAACCCTAAACTCTTTTGCTGTAAAGTCAAATTGACTTTTTTTTTTCCAAAAATTGCCATGCACACACACACTTGTGTCTATGTATGTATGTATAAGCCTACTTTATGCATAGTGCGACCCCTGAATTTTTTGTGAAAAACCTGATTGCTTTCATATAGCTTGTGTATAATGCAATCCCAGCTTCTAAGCAATACTAGTAGGCCTATTGTAGTCAAATATTGCAGTACTGAGAATCATCCTGAACATATTTTATTGCAAATAGTCTTCATTCTTTTTTGTACAAAGCTACCCCAGTAAATGTAAAGAATATAATAATTAAAAATAACTATAAATAAATATTGGAAAACGGAATAAGAAACACAGCTGAAACATAGAATATATGGTATAGATCCGTACCAGATAAAAGGTGTGCCATTGGAAAAGCAATACCTCAGCGATGTAAACACGTTTGAATGAAGATGGATACAAATTGAAGAAAGGAAAAAAAAAATTTAATTATTCATTTATGTAAAGTAGATTTTAAATGGCACGTATAGTATTGCAGTTCATATAGCAACAGAAAGAAAGGAAAAATCTAGTCTACATGAAGCAGTCTAAACGAGCTTACCTGTACCATTAAGGTTAGCCAATGCTACTGTGAGAATGCAGGCCTTCCAGGTAGGGTGTGGTCACTGTGAATGCATGATTTTTAACCTCTTCAAAAAAATTACCTTTATAGTGCAGCTACCTATTTCTAACTTCAAAAAAAATTACTTGTGTATAGTACAACCACCTATTTTTTATGTAAAAAAAAAAAAAATTATTTAAAATTGCCTATACTCAAGTATATACAGTAATCATTTATGATGAGTCTTGAGTTAATATGTACATGCTTTGTTCTGGTGGAGTGTGTAGGATGAGGTAGCAGAGGCAAATTGGGAGCCACAGCTAGATAGGTGGGAATATTCTTTTCATAACTGGGTTACTTGACTTTAATGTGTATGCAACTGAACCCTACCTGCAAGGTTATTTGCTGCTTTTTATCAAAACCTGCTGCCATATTGAGCACATTTGGCTGTGATGCATATGCACGCTATACTCTTGAGACTGGGTGTCATGATTAGCATATCAGGTTTCACATATTTGGACCCCAGTGTCACTTTGATGGTGTGCTGCCCTCTCACCCAATAAGAATGTCGTTATGCTTCTTAAAATACGTGCGAGCCTCATGTTTTTTTTCTTGATAAATGTTTTTATTGCTTTCAACTAACAATATCATGCCCTGAAACAAATTGTAGTACATGTCACTTCTTTTCTGGCTGTATTTCCAATCTAAAAATCCTGTCTCATTTTATTTATTAGGGCCCTCTTTGAGAGTGCCGAACCCATGGCCATTCTAGAATTATTGAAGGTAACAAAACCCTACTCCAAAATATAAAAAGGAAATCGAATAAACAACTGTCTACAAAATGCAACTAAAACCGAATTATATACCCACCCTTATATAAAAACAACTTATAAAAGAATTTGTCTGCAAAATAGACACAAAATAAAAACAAATCTTAAAACTACCTGATTCTGCACAAAATGACTCGTGGTGGTTGGTGTGCTGGTAAAATACATTGTGTCCCCCTGTATTCGCGAAAAGGTTAGGGACCAGAATTAGATGCAAATAGTTAGAATCTGCGAATATGTGTAACCCTCCTAAAAGTGCTTATAAGTACTTATTTTGATTGTTAAAACCCCATATGCCTTAAAGTTTCAACCTAAACATTTTAGAAACATTCCAGACCCTTTTTAAAACATTTGTAAGAAATAGTATTGGTGACCATACATACAATAACCGTTTTTAATTATGTGTAGATTGATACAAACATTGAAAATACTGTATAAAATATGTGGTACAAGACATCTTACTTATTATAAAACGTAAATTGTGTGTGTGTGTGTCTGTACGTTTATATATTGGATCGGATTTCCTACATTTTTGAACCGATTTCAACAAAACTTTACAGGACTGCATAAAATTACCTTGCGGTGGTTCTGACAGCGCCAAAAATTGGAAAAACAATTGTTTTTGAACGAAATCAATTTGAAAACACGATTCTGTCGCCAGAATGAAAGGAGGACAATTCATATCGAGTTATACTTATTATAAAACCCAGGTTGTTTGTGTGTGTATGTATGTGTGTGTGTGTGTGTGTTTTTGTTTATATATGGGATCGGATTTCCTACATTTTTCAACCGATTTCAACAAAACTTCACATTTTTTTGGCAGGTAGTGTTTCTTATTGTCTTGCACACTTTTTTCTTTATTTTTACATTCAGAATGCTTTAAAAATTCCATTTGCAAGACAATTGTTTATAATAAAATTCTATTCAATCAGTAGACTCATAACGATTGAAAACGATGTTTGAGTTTGGGTTTGACCAATTTGTAAAAAAACAAAAAAAAAAAAAACTAATTAAGACATGTGTGTCCGTCAACCTTAAACAATAATCTTTGTCAATCTGATTTTTCAGTCTTTATGATGTTCGATACTTGATCTATCTCTTACTGTTACATCCTTGGGCAACGCCGGGCTCTACTGCTAGTAATATATAAAATTTAAAACATTTTCTAAAAATAGAACCGTTATGATGCCCCCAGACTTAGCATATGCCTCTTTTAAGACCCCAGCTGCAACCCTTAACAAAGAACAAAGCCCAAGCACTATGCATGTTTTTGCGTTTTGTTCTTTTTTTTTTTTCAGTGAAGACGTACAATTCTGCCAATTTTTATCATAAAAATGGACTGTTTTAAGTCACTTAAATAACAGGAAAATAATACTAGAATATTTTAAATATGTTCTATTGAAAAAATATGCGAATTGAGAGAGTTCTCAGCAAATGATTTGTACATTTGTTATTCAGAAAAACTTGCGAATATTTGGGGTTTCCGCAAATAACAAGTACATATGTTCTAAAGAAAAATCCGTGAATGCTGAAATGCAAATAGGCAGGGTCTCACTGTAACCTATTTAAATCTACTAGGGAAATCTTTCTATGTTAAAAACTCTTGTGGACAGAATTTTTTTTCTTATGGATTAAATTTTATAATTTCATGTTTATTGCTGATTTTTAAATTAACAAATTATTATCAGCAGTTTATTTATTTTTTTATTTTTTTTTGTGTAGTGTTCATTTCCTTTCTATCTCATGAGTAATATTCAACGAACAGTTTTTGTTCCTTTGATTATAATTGTTGACATGGCCTTGAATGTTTTAAAATGTCTCAAAGAAATGAACTAATTTACAGAAAAAAATGAATGTTGTTGAATGATTCTGTTTTTAATTCTGAAAAAAAAAAAAAAAATCTTGGTTTAATTCTATCCAACAGTAATTGTATATTAGATACAAATTCTGTATGGGTACACATAGGCACTATATTGATTAATGTGATTTTCTTCAAATTAATTTCCATTTTTTTTGTCTGTTTTTTTTTTTTTTCCATAATTCATGGCTTCATTTTATTTCAGGAAAGTCCCACTGGTTTATATATTTGTATGAACACGTTTTTGGGCCTTGGTAAGCAGCATGTTGAACGACATTGCAAAAAATCTGGCAACACCGTCTTTCTGCATATTAAAAGACGAAGGAAAGCAGTAAGTGATCTGATTTGTTTGTAATTTTGAGATCATTATTCAAATTGTGCTTATTTGTTGGGGCAAAAAAAAAAAAGAAGGAATTATTGAATACTGATGTTTTGTCAAATTCTTAGAAAATTAGTTTCTATGCACAGCGCATGAGTATTTATTTATCCCTTCAGATTCTCAAATCTCTCTCAAAGTTGATGGTGAATAAGATTCTGTTTTACCCCCTTGCCACTAAAAAATAGTTAAATATATTTTCTAGGTTTTTAATATGAAATTGAAGTGTTTGGTAAGCAAATATTTACCTAGATGCCATAGGCTACCTGTAGAGTTAAATGTAATTAGCAGAAATGCCCAACAAACAAAATTGACAAAGTTTGCAATAAACAATAACAAAAGAAAGAAAAAATACAGGGCCAAAATAATAACTGTATATGTGTTATGGATTTGGATCAACCCACAACAAAGAAAAAAGATGAGAAAGGTTTTTAAATATAAAAATATAAAATATTTTATGTTTTTGCAACTCAGTTTTTTCAGCATGTATGAGTGTTAAAGTTCCTTGTTTGTTAAGATGAAATTTGATTTCTTTGTGTGTATGTGTGAAAAAGATAGGCAAGGGAAAGAAGCAAATAAGCTCTAGGTTGCTAAAAATATTCCATACAAAATAGGCATTTAAAATTCATATAAACTGGATTTGGCATTAAATAACCTACAGTGGTTGATATGCCATAAAACCCAAACAAACAAGCAAGGGAAAGAGTGAGGAGGAAGAGTAAGTGTCATGCAGCTTGGTGTAGAAGACAGGTGAAATGAGTAAGGGAATCTCTTAAGCTGAGCCATGTCATCAATTGTTGCTGTTCCTTACTGGCCTCTTTGGTCTAGAAACTTTGCTTAAATACTCTTCAAAGGAATCATGAAACATAATTTTTATTGTCAATGGAAATGTGACCTGTTGAAAAAATGTTAAATATTTATTTTCAAAGGATTAATTTATTAACCGAAAGGACAAGCGAATCTTCTAACTTGGAAACCGATTTTTTTTTTCTTTTGATGATTGACTGTCTTGGTGTTTATTTCCGTCTTTGCTGCACATATGCAAGGCAAAGCAACAGTAATAAGGCAAATATTCACAAACTAAGAATGGTGTTAACACACAAAAGCGATCGCTGTGTTCTGAATTGAAAACAAAAAAGAACAGAAGTCAGATGAGAGAGAAGTGGCCTATCTTATTGGCCAGGAAGAAATCCCAGCATGCATCTGTATGTTTTGTAAGTAATACTGCCAAAGTAAATTTTTCCCTTAAGAAACCAGTCATTCTTTTTAAAAGCAAGACAGTTACCAAGTTTTTACTGATCTTTGGGTTTTAACTGAAAAAGACCACTAACTTTTGAGTATTTGGTAAATATCTGCTAGACTTTATTGAGTTGAATCTTTCAGATATTTGTAGTTGGATGACAAAAAAAAACCCATTCTTTTTTTTTTTTTTTTTTTTACATTTACTTATCTACATATATTATTCTCTTTACATTTTTAAACAATTGGAATTAAGACAACTGTATTAAAGTTTGCTAGTGTTCCATTCTTTGTAACGAAAATATATTTTTATAATAATTCAACTTGTACACTTAAAGTCCCTGAAATCAGATACATTTCAAAGTAGTTTGAGCTTATTTGAAAGTACTAAAAAGAATAATGGTACAATAAAAGTTGAATTGTAAAAGTTCTTTCCTACTGTTAACAGTTATGATTGAAGGTGGTTTCTCTTTGTCACTTGTTTATTAAAAGTGTATTTACCTATTCCTTCCCCAAAGATTGTCGGTCTGACACAAGTTTGTAATTAATGTGCAGCCCATGGGCCTGTTAAAACATGTCAAAGGTGTCTTTTGTTCTGTATTTTTAATGTGAATAAATAAATGAAAATTATTACAGCAAATTTGTTTTTAGCATTTCTGTGTATTTAGTTATGTCTTTCTTGCAGATACATAAGGTTTCAGAAGACCCCCCTCCACAGAAGAAGCCAACCCGTTTAGCTATAGGTAAGTCTTTAATGACTTTCAACGTATAATTTTTCTTTTGTTTGTGTAATGACTGTGAAAGTTGTAATAAAAATAAGATGAAAAAAATAAGAGTCAAAATTTTCAACTAAGAATTTTAAATGCTGTCACATTAAAGAGCCTGTTGCATTCACTTTTGTGTCAAGGTCCCTGAACTGCAAGTGACCTTTTGAAATTAAAATCAATCTTTAATAATTATAATTATTTTGTAATATAAAAAAAATGGATTTTGTTCTAATCAAAAATCTAATTAAACCCAGGCAGTGTTGAGCATCCAAAAGGGGAAACAGAAAGATGTTGAGACCAAAAAAGTGTGGCAGAGAGGCAGGGGAAGTGGGGAATTGTATTAGAGGATCAAATTTTGTTTCTTTTGAAAAAAAATATCTTCATATTTTTGAATGACTTTGGTAAAATGTGATAATTTTTCTTTTTGCAGGAGTTGAAGGAGGTTTTGATGCCAATCAGAAAACGTTTGAATTTGTTGAAGAGACTTCGATTGTTGTCTTGCCAGACTGGACAGTGTATCCATTTCCCAACCCTGAATTACCAGAAATGGTCAGTGCTTCTATTTATCCTTGTTGTCATATGAAATCCTTCATATAAACAGAGAATTAATTTATTATGCTAGAAATTTAAAAGCAAATTAAAACCTTTGTTCTTATCTATTTTCTTGAAACTGATACCTTTTTATTTTTTCCATTTTGCTCAAAGTTTGTATTTTCTTGATTTCACATGAAAAATTTCTGACATATTTGAGTCGAATTTGTAAAATTAGTTTATAATTACAGTTTAGATACAGGAAAAAAAGAAAACACCAATTTAAATTGATGCTAGGAGGATGTGGGTTAAGGACATATGAAAACCTTCCAATAATTTAACAAAATATGCCATAATTTTTGACAGCATAGTTACTACTAATACAAGATACTACTGGACCTAAAGTGGGCGGGGGATAGGTTCTTTATTGTTATTAAGTAATAAACTGACCTACCAAAATTGCTACATCATAATAATATCAATATATGAAGGTTGGCTGAAAAGTTCATAGGCTGACAAAGATATAAATAGACACATCAGTTAGTAGACTAAAAGACATAAGAATACAAGAGTTGACCAACCAGCTGTTGTATTCCAGTACACTGGCATGTCTACTTACATTTATATCTTGGTCAGCCTTTTAACTTTTCATATGATCCTTGTAATTGAAAAAGATATATTTATCCCATCTCCTCCTGCTGTCAGTATAAACAAATGCCTTTTATTCATATTGTGACTATTTTGTTTATAGTTTGTATTCTTGATTTCAGTTAAAAGCTTGAAAATTTTCTGGCATATTTCAGTGAAAACTTCACTTTTCAAAATTTATAGTTTACAATTATAATTTATTACTTAAAAACAATGTAAAATCGACTCCCTACTTTATGTCCAGAAGAATCTTACATTAATACTTGACATATTTTGCTAATTTACATTGAAGCTCATTGGATGACAGGGGACACAACTCCTCGTTAACTAATATATTTGAATTATTCAGTAAACCATTTGTAAAAAATTTAAAGGAATTAGAAAAAAAAAACATTTAAATAATAATGAAGTTAATTTTTTATTGTTTTTATTAATGAGGAATTGTATCCCTTCTGTCATAAAACGGACTTCTATGTAAATTAATCCCAACTTTTAAAGACATGCAGATTTATTTTCAAAATATTTGGTTTTTTTTTTGTTTTTTTTTTAACATTTTACTCTGGAAATATATTTTGCAAGTATTATCAGGTATTCATATATGAGTCTTTAAATATATTTTCTTCTAATTATTATTGTTGTACTCTCTTTCACAATTGGGCCGATTACCTTTGAGATTTGTAAACATAATAAGGACACTGCCACCTGGTGTCATAGCTGCAAACACTATAGATAAAAATACAAATACACTTGATATATTAGGTAGAGAAATATGATGTAAAAAGTTTTGGTAATCTAACTGCTTAGCTTTAGATTTTGTTATAAATTTTCTAATTAATTTTAATGAATAAGATATTTAATGTTTGCATATAATAAAAAAAAAAACAAATTTAAAATTTTTTTGTCAAGGCCTTTGAAAATGCTCATGACTGATATCCTCACTATCCATGGCCATAAGCCAGCTTTCAGTGTAATTATATAATAATCAGAATAATTATATAATTATCAATGTGTGTATATATGTTTCTGGTGTATTTATTTATATGCTTCCTGTCCCATCTGTCATGGGAAGTGTGGTAAATCAAATTAGTAAATTTATCAGTGATTACTTCCTTTAGTCATTTTAATAATCTGTACAAATAAAATATTGATCTGCATTTAGACAAAAGTAGTTCCTGAGGAAAATGAACCGGTTAATTAATCAGTTCCTTTATTTCTATGTTTCTTAGATTATATTCTTATTTGTTGAAGCCTTTCATATGAGGCACTCAGATACCTTTGTTTATTAAGTGATTGTCTTGCTTCATCTTAGTTTTGAAATAAACTTTGTCATTGCTGTCTTTGTTGTTGTGTTGCTAATCTTCTAAGAGATATTTCCATTTCACTGGTATATTAAACACAAAAATTTTAACATGAAAAGATATTTGGCAAAAAGTAATTTATATAATACCAGTAGCAATCAATGAATCATAGATACCATTGAACATCTAAAAAATATATATATATATATATATATATATATATATATATATATATATATATAAGGGAACGAATAAATTAAATAGTTCATTGGCCTCTATTTTAGTTGTGGATTCTTTACTTTATTGAATCTCAATAAATTGTTTGAAAATTTTTTGTTTTATTGACTCTTACTATTAAAACTAACAGCTGGTGTCATTTTTGATGGCACAGGTACACTAATAATTATAATTGCCACAAGAAATATATAGGAAACCTCAAGGAATTTAAATAAAAGATTATATGAACATAAAAGGGATATTTTACAAAACAACACATTCAATGCATTAGTTGACATCATAATGAATCTGACCATAATTTTGATTTAAAAAAAGAAAATGCTACTTTAATTTAAAAAGAAAACAATTTACTAAGACAAAATGTATAGAAAGTGCTTTAATTGCCAGATCATTCATAGTAAATTTATGTCCAGGTTTTGACAAAATTTCACCTTCTTTGGAAGATCTATTATCACAATGTGGGATATTTAATAAGAAAAGTGAGAAAAAGATAAACAAAAAGGAAAATAAACTAAATATCAGCTAGACTATATACTGAAACACATTTAAAAAGAAAAAAAAAATTTAAATTTCAGTGTTCCCTTTTCTTCATGCACATGTGTAATCACATCAGTATAAACATCACTTTAGTCTAAAGTCCTAAGGATGAAACATGTCATAGATTTTCCTAAAATTGTTCTTATATATATATATATATATATATATATAATTTCTGTAAGCTGGTTGATTTAACATGTTGAATTTTGTAAGGGACAATTAGTTAGAATCAAATTCACATCTAATGCTCAACTAGTCTAGCCTTGCTAACCATTAACTCACAATTAGGCACTCTAGGTTGGTTGGTTGGTTTAATGACATGTCAAACATTGTTGCATTATTTAATGTTGAATTGTGTATAGTGCACCCAGTGAGGATCAAACTTTCAACTCTGTTGTAATGTTCAACCTGTGTGAAATAATCAGCCATGATTAAGTGTTGTTGGCAAAAATGCCCAACAAATGGAATTGGTGAATTTTCCAGTAAATAATATAAAAAGGAAGATGAAGAACAGCTCAGTATAATACTAAGCAAACAATATATATGCAAGACAAAACTAGGCAGAGAAGCTGTAATAAGGCAAAAAGTTCACAAAATAAAAATAGTGTTCACATGCAAAAGGTCAAATGGTTGTAGTGTTCTGACTTTAATATAAGAAAGAACAAAAAATATGGAAGATGAGACTGAGAAGTTTATTTTCATTATTTAGGAAAAATCCCAGCATGCATCTGTAGGATTTGTGTATAAATTCAAGGGGTGGGGATGTTTTTAGCAATTGTTCTTTTTGGGATTGGCACCAGCAAGCAGATGAGCCTTGCTAATTATTACCCCATGCAGAGATACCCTCAATATATGATTATTCTATCAAGTTTTAATAAAAAAAAAGAAAATGAACAAAATAAAAATACTAAAAATGTTTTTTTTTAATGCAGGTAAGAATGTCTGCCAGTTCTATTCTGGAAGCTGAGGATGCTCTCAAGATGGAAGAGGCAGCCATGATGGCTGCAGGTACCTGGGAAGGAGATAAGAAAATTATTAGCAAGTAAGTATTATTTTTTTGAGCAATAGCCAACATAGTTAAATTTTTTGTTTTTTTTCTCCATCTTGCTATCAGTTCTTGCCTGGCTGGTTTGCATTAGAAATGAATGGTTTTAGATTAAAATGTTATGAATTTGTTATTTTTATAAATTGAATGGTTAAAATTAAAATGTAGTTGAATGAATGGTTTTAGATTAAAATGTTTGTAATGTTTAACCTTCATGCTTGCAAAAAAGCAATTGGTCAAAAGGACAGTAATTTTTATGACACTACTATTACTGTATACACTTTTGACTCCCTCAACAATGTTTGTTTTAAAAAGCAATGATTAAAATTTTAATGAAACCCGAACATATGAAAGTGGATTTATACATTTTCTTTATTCTTAAGAATTGACAACAAAGATATTAAACACTATTTATTTATTAGATTGAATAAAACACTTGTTTTCATATTTATTTATAAAATTTCAAATAATATTGCATTGTAAATGGTTTATATATTTTGATAAATTTGTAATATTTTTTATAAATTTTTGAATGAAAAGATTTTTCAAAATTTATTTATTTTATAAAATAATAAATCTTTATAAAAATTAAAAAAAAAATTTCAGCATATAAAGAAAAGTTGGCAATGTTTAACACTTGTGCCTGAAAAAAAAATGGTGTGTCAAAAGGATGGTTATTCCCTTGACACTGCAATTACACCACAAGTTTGTGCACATCGATCATCACGTTAGAGGTGTAGGGGCACCACATGTATTGTAGCCACAATAGCAGCAGTGTTTTTTGGTCAAGACAGCTTGACAATGCTCAACCCTCACCAAGCTGTTTTTTCTTTCTCCTAGACCAGTTGCCACCAAAGGCTATAGAACCCAGTTTGTCCTGCTATTTACTCGTAGCTGGTGGGAGTAGAGATAGACTTATATCTTCCCCAAGAGTATTTGCACATAAGTAAATGTAATGAGCTCTCCTGGAATTTGAACTCTGCTCTCTGGTTCCTAATCTGAGCTGCTATCCATTACTCTGTCATGCTGCCAAACAACTAAAATACAACTACAGTGTAACCCGGATATGAGAGAGATTTTCTCTGGTCCCAAATTAGAGCCATACTTACCTAAACAAAATAGACCAAACCCGGATATAAGAGACTTCTTCTCCGGTCCCGACAACTCTCTTATATCCGGGTTACACTGTATTAAAATGAAACAAATTTTAGTAAATATCTCAAAATACTATCTAACACTCACTGCAAGAAAAAATTCAAAATTCTACAAGCTATTATTATACAAAAGAAACAGCTTGCACTAATTTTTGTGTATCTCGGTTGGTTTTCTAATTAGGCCTTCTATGTCTATGCTTGGTCTACTGATTGGGTGGATAGTGTAATGGAAGGTGCTTGAAATGAGAAACTGGATAGCTGTATTTGAATTCCAATCGGTTTGTTACATCAATTACAAATGCTCTTGGGAATGGTATGTGTCTGGAAAAATTATTTTTATTCTCTAAAAATTGTAAAAAAAACAAAAAAAACAAAACAAGTTATTCTTACAATCCCAAATATGTTTCAGCTTTAAATAACCCACAAAGGATTGATTAATCAGTCAACTGCCAATTGGCAATACACACTTGGGCAATCATATATCTTGTGATTCATGACTAACGAGTCAGAAAATTTTCCTGCAGCTGGTTGCTGTTTCTTTCTGCAGTAGACTGGTTGTCACCCTAAACTATAAGACCCAGACTTTCCTGTTATTGAACCCATAGTTGTGGGGAGAAGAAATGGATTCATACCTTTTGCAAGGGTATTTGTATGTAAGAGGTTGTAACAAACAACTGGAATTTGAACTCAGCTCTGTGATTTCTTATTCAGAGCCATTATCCATTAAACCACAGCATGCTTCCCTTACAAAAGGATTGATAAGCTGTAAAAAAAACAATCACTCTACAATGTTGTTACTTTATGATTATGTTATTTTATTTTTTTGTTAACCTCTTAATTTCAGCTACTTTTTAACACAATTGTTATTCTGGGATCAGTGTGGATTAAAAAATTAAATGAAGGAAATAATAAAAAATTAATGGTGATTGCCAATTCTTTATCTAAGAAATGTGAATAATATTGTCAAATGTTGGTTTTAGTTTATTTTAACTTTGTCCTGTTGAGGTGTACTTTCAGTCATACCAGATTCCAGACTCCACAGATTACCAATATCTACTTAAGTTTTGTTTTAGGAAAGTTGCTGGTCTTGCCTTCATATTCTGCAGTTTTTTGTTTTAATCTCCATCAGTATATAGTAGCAAATAATCTCTATGAAAAAATGTTAATTGAACAAGAATTGTAGTGCATTATATAAAAAAAAGTTTTTCTTGTTTTCAGATATGCTGAAAGTCTAATACAGTTGGACAATGGCAAGAAGATTCCACCAACTGGCTGGAAATGCGAACAGTGTGACTTGACCACCAATCTCTGGCTGAATCTTACGGATGGTGCCATTTTGTGTGGGCGCCGTTTCTTTGATGGCACCGGTGGTAATAATCATGCTGTAGAATATTATCAGAAGACCAAGTATCCCCTTGCAGTAAAATTAGGGACAATTACAGCTGATGGCGCTGGTAAGTATGGCATTATTTCCAAACTGCTTTTGAACACATTTGGCCTGTTTATCAGAAAAAAAGAATGCAGTCTAATGAATGCATGCAAATTTGGCACTTGATTTTACGTCATATAAAAGTAGGGATATTCATTCACACAACTCAAGTGTTAAATGGGCTACAAATGTCTATGAATTCTATTGGATGTCAAAAACAGTTTACACTATTTACATTGTTTGGACCGTTATCCTAATCTTTATTGTCATATTCACAATGTTTCAGCTGTTGCACGTTCTGGCCTTCTTCAGGTGATATATGTAGGAATTTCAAACAGAACCCTTTTCGTTCACTAGGGTAGATTGTTCTTGTTCCATGTCTGATACCTTTCTGGAAATCTCAGTTTAAATTAATTCCCTTCAGTAATTCAACTTTCCAATTTGTGTCCATGTAATGAACTCGGAACTCTTAAGTCACTGGATTACTTCAATGAACGCTTTTATGCACTGCGGACATCAGTGAATGAATTTTTGCAACTTATAAATGTAATATCTCAGTAAATTTTTTTTTTACCAGAGCTCATATTACAATTTTTTTTGTTATTGTTGTTTTTCTCTCGCACTCCTTTTTACTGATTCCCATATTGTATTCATGTGTTTGCTTGGCCGGCTTAGGAAATTTTTGTGGCATAACATACATGCTGATTCCTTAAGTTTTTGTATGATGTTCTCTGCCTATTATTTCAATCTCATCCTGCAGAGGGTGGTGACCTCCCCTTTTCCCCGCCATATATGGTCACAGCAAAGGTATAAAAAAAAACTTACAAAGTTGATTTACTAAAAGGTAAATAACTGAAACCAAGATATCTAGACAAGGTATGACACATGAAACTAGAATGGTCTACTTCTGTGGATGAAATAAAGGGTTCGGTTTGAAATTTTAATGTATATCCTCTGAAGAAGGCTGGAGCATACAATGGCTGAAATGTGAATATGACAATAAAGATGAGGACAGCAGTCTGAATAATATAAATAGTTACAAAACCTCATCTCATAAATATTAACAGACCCCTTAAGTAAAAATGAAATCAAACTTTTTATTTTCAAAATCAGCTTCAATGAACAACTTAATTACTCTTTCGTTTCACTATCAGCCAACTTCCTTCTTTTAGAATTTTATCTTTATGAAAGAAATCATCCATTTTTTCTTCTTTTTTTCTTTTTAATACAATTGATATTACATTTTTTTTTTTTTTTTTTTTTTTTTTTTAAAATACAATAATAATTAATAGGTCGGGGAACAAATTTTCTGTGATCACAAATCTGGGTTTTTAATGTAATTTTCAATAAAAAAAATAACTAGTTATTTGATTTTTTTTTTTTTTTTTTTTTTAATTCTTTCAAAACTTAATAACTGTCTCTCCAATTTTGTTAAACATTTTAATAAATATAACAATAACAGAACTTAGTTATTCTCTTAAAATTTGTTTTTAAAAATATTTGTAGACCCGAAAAAGAATTAAAAAGGAAAATCTTTACATAAAAGAAAAAAGGGTTAATATGTAGTATAAGCACCAAAAGCCCATGGTAATGAAAATGTTCCATTCTGGTGTGAAATTGCCTGATAATTTTGAAAATGACATTAAAAGTTTACACTCTATTACCGTTTAAGAGTTATGAACAATGTAAGTTTGATTTCTTTCATGTCACATCAACAGAACGGCTGCCATTATTGGGTTTGTTTACATATGTTTGCCTCGAGTAGTCATGCGCAGAAGCTTCACTTGTCTTGATTACTGCACAATGTGTAAAGTCTAAAGTTTTGTATGTTTGGATTTTATTAAAATTCTAAAAAATATCTTTGTAAAACTATAAAAATTGCTGGAGGAATATGTAGTAATAGCGATGTCTAGAGAAAAACCATACTTTTGACACAGCTTTTTGCAGGTATGTGTGTTAGACTTCACTGATTTGAAATTAGTTTCCTTTCTTGTAACCTTTACAATGTACAAATTTGGTGGCCAACTAAAATAATACAATTTTTTTTCTCTCTCTTCTGGTTTTATTATTTTGTCAAATAAAAATTGTGGTAAAAAAAAAAAAAAAAGCAAAAGAAATTTTTTTTCTTTTCTTTTTTTTCTTGTTACCAGATCACGACAGCTATTAGAGAGATGTGTGATTAAATATACTTTAATGTTTAAAAAATTATTCACTATTATTATTGTTTAGGTAATAAGCATTATAACATAGCACAAATAGCTATATTATGGAAAAGGGAATTTTTGACTATATACGCATTTTTTATGTATTTATGTTTATTTTTTAACTTTTATCAAAAACAACATGTAGTTATGGATAATATTATATTAATTACTAATTTTTTTTTTATTAATAACTATTTGTGCTCAGTTGTTGACATTAATTGCTATCTGTTGATGTATTAAAATTTGGGAATAATGCAATAATAAAAATTTAAATTTCATCTCTTTCATAAATGTTGCAATCTGTAAACATTTGCAACTAGATCTGGTGATATTGTTACTTGTTATTTATATATAATAGTTGCTTGAAAGTAATGCTTCCCATTTTATCATGGGCCGATGACACCAGTGTTGATGGTATAGCAGAAGAGGTTGATCCTTCCTACTAATAACGCATGCATTTTTTTTTTTTTTTTGCTTTCTTAGAGATAGCAGCTGAGTGGCAGTCTGGCAAAATAGCATCTGAGATGAAAATGTGTTAGAAACAGAAGTGTGTCATTGTATTCTTCTATGTAGAATTAATTGCACTCCTTGACATTTGGATCTGTATCCAATTCTTTGTGATTTCTGTCCTGTAAGATTTATATTTGACATTAAATAGCCCAACAAGGGTTGATATGTCAAATCAATCATCTTACTTATTATAAAACGCAGATTGTGTGTGTCTGTACGTTTATATATTGGATCGGATTTCTTACATTTTTCAACCGATTTCAACAAAACTTCACAGGACTATTTAAAATTACCTTGCGGTGGTTCTGACAGTGCCAAAAATCGGAAAAACACAATTGTTTTTGCACAAAATCAATTTGAAAACACGATTAAGAGGCATTAATGAAAGGGGGACAACTCATATTGAGTTATACTTATTAATATCGAGTTATCGAGTTATTATAAAACCCAGGTTGGTTGTTTGTGTGTGTGTGTTCGTTTATATATGTGATCGGATTTCCTACATTTTTCAACCGATTTCAATAAAACTTCACTTTTTTTTGGCAGGTAGTGTTTCTTATTGTCTTGCACACTTTTTTCTTTATTTTTACATTCAGAATGATTTAAAAATTCCATTTATAAGACAATTGTTTATAATAAAATTCTATTTAATTGGTAGACTCATAACAATTGAAAACAATGTTTTTGTTTGAGTTTGGGTTTGACCAATTTGTAAAAAAACAAAAAAAAGATAAAACTAATTAAGACATGCGTGTCCGTCAGCAGTAGATATGAGCACAATTTGGTAATGAGTAATGTGTTTCAGCTGTGGTGGCTGTGATGTATGCAACAAGTCATATTTGCTGCATGGACTTTTTTCATTAATAGCGAAAAATGGTGTTCTCTCTGTAGAAAGTGTTTTATAGCTGGAAACTTGCTTAATCCTCTGGTGGTATTGTGCACCCTTTATTTGGAGGCATTACTTTCATGGCACCCTTTTTAATTGTATTGACTAGTTACGTTGTATTGTATTATTTTATCTTCGTTTTTGCAGATGTTTATTCTTATGATGAAGATGAAATGGTGGAAGATCCTTATCTTGCAAAACATCTTGCTCATTTTGGCATCAATATTTCTTCACTTCAAAAGGTGAAACATTGTGGAATTTCTTCTTTTAACTGACAAATGAAAAGTATTGTTACTGTTATCTACCACATATAAAAAAGAAAAAAATGTGTGTGTTGTATTCATATGCAAATTTCTACCATATAAATAACAGTAGATGCAGCTATAGGCTAAACTAATCCTGGCCTTGAAGACTAAACGACTATAGAAATAGTAGTGAATATTCCTCGTTAATTATAGTTTACGACATTCCCTACCCAAAACACAGCAAAAATGTCCCTTCCCACCCTAAAATCCTCTAAGGTGCATCACCAAGTATCCTAAACAACTTGGTATCAAACAAAAAAAAAAAATTGGTTGAATTTTTTTATTTTGTTTTTTGAAACTGCATTCCTTTTCTTTTGCTGAAATAAAGTATTCCAAATTTACATTTTCAAAGAAAAAATATAAGTATGGAGAGAATGTTGTATTCATATGCAAATCACCACCATATAAATAACAGCTGTTACAGCTGGTGGCTAAAACTAATGTAATAATAACTTACGACAGGAATTATGAACACGATCTTATTTTATACCTACTTGAGAGCAATGTAACATTTGTTAGGTTACCAAATGGAAAAGAAAATACTGTTTCTCTACATCACCTTGCTCATGCTGAGGAGGGAACGACAATCTCTGAACCTGAAGCAGTTACAGTAGTCTCAAATAGCCCTATATCTGATTCAGATGAGAATAACATATCAAAATCAGAAGATACTGTACCCCAACCAGTGTCCAGTGATTCAACTTAAGGGGCTGAACCAGAAACCTGTCACTTCCCTAGTCCAAACACTTTAAAAATTTCCCCAATCTCCAAATTCTTTAAGCTGCTCTAAGCATATCACAAAAAAAAAAAAAACCCTAAATGACTCAGTATTGAACACTAAAAAAATTTTTTTTTTTTTAAATTAATTTGGTTGTTTTTGAAACTGCATTCCTTTTCTTTTACCGAAATAAACTATTCCAAATTTACATTGTCAAAGAAAAAAAATAGATATGGGGGGGAATGTTGTATTCATATGCAAATCGCCACCAAATAAATAACAGTTGATACAGATGGTGGCTAAAGCTAATCCTGACCTTGAAGACTAAATTACTAGAGAAATAGTAGTGACTACTTTTAGCTAATAATAGTTTGACAGTGTGTATTTATCCCATTTTTTTTTTTTTTTTTTTTTTCTTGTTTCTGTTTGTTATATCAAACTTTAAAAAAAATTGAATAACTTTATATTATTGTGTCATTCCATGTCAATATAACCAAAAGAAATGGAAAAATGTATCATGAAAATATAAATTATTTTCATTTTGATATGTGTTGTAGATCTTATAGTCATGAGAAAATTCTGAAAACTTAAAATGAAAATTCCTAACCGTTTTCAAGATATTGCAAGTTGAAATTTTGCTGAATCAGCCTTTTCCATCGATGGACATTTCCATTTTCGAACTCAATGATAAAAAAACCCCAAAAAACTCATATCTTCTGATCCACTGGCCAGAAATTAATGAAATTTGTTACCATTTATAGTCAAAGAATCTAAATGTCCCTTTATAATTTTACAGCAAGTAACCAAAACGTACTATTAGTGGTTGGTGAAAAAAAAAAAAAAAATGAAAATTTTTAGGTGGCTGATCCCATGGAAATATTGAAAAAAATATCATCTTCAGCTCATAAAAATAGCAAAAGGTGATACAACATTTGAGAGCTAGAGTATTCAGGGAATAAATCCCAATAAGTTTCATTAATGGTCTCTCAAAGCTACCAATTCTAGACCTTAATAGTTTCTTCGCAAAAATTCAAATTCATGGTAATTTCGCAATCTTGATCTACTAATATTGACTTATTCTACTAAAGGTGTTGAAGTCAATAGCTAACAAAACATTGGGAACACATTACATAGTATTTTGGGGAATTTATTTACTAAGTTTTAACAACACTCTTTCTGTTTCAATTTTTATGAGTGTTTAAATATGCATTGCAAAAAAAAAAAAAATTTTATCCCAACTCTACCCCGAAAGCAAAATTTCCCATATTGCATCAACATTTCACCACAAAAGAATGTTTCGGTTAGCAAGGTTGATTTTACTGTTTTTAAACTACAATTTTCCATGATTTTCTTATGTACATTCATATCTGCTCGATGCGTATCCAAAAGTAAACAAATGACATCACACATTATGAAATGGACAAAGTCTGACAATTATTTTAAGACCTGTTTATGTTTCTCAGACATTCAGGCCGGTAAATGTTGTTAATACTGTTTATTATAAACAGAGCATTTACTTAAATATTTGTATCTATAAAAAAGAATGTATAAACATAAAAAATGTCTTAAAATAATTGTCGAACTGCAAATTTAAAGGTGATTCGTCTGATACAAATGTAGGATATCTACCAACTGCCCATTGTGGTCAGATGTGGCACAAGGCCGAATTTAATGTGGGTTATCTGAGCACATAGGCTCAGCCAAAAATTTCTTGTAGACCCCCGTATAAAACAGGGTTGGGTAGCTGTTTCTTGAGATAAGACTCTGCTCTTTGGCATAGCCTCATCAGGGGATCCACTCTGCCTCCAGGCACAGAGTTTGACCAGCACAGCTGGAGAATCTTCAACTCTGATACAAATGTAGTATGTTTTTTTTTTTTTTTTCTCTCTCTGTCTCTCTCTCTGTCTCTCTCTCTGTGTCTCTGTCTCTCTCTCTGTGTCTCTCTCTCTCTCTCTCTCTCTGAGTTAATTTATCATTTTAATTCTTGTACAAGGTTACTCTTCATTGATGGATCAGAAGTTTCTTCTGAAGAGCCCATGTTATTGGCTTGATGATAACATTTGCTGCATAAGTTCAAACAAGGTATTAAAGTTAAACTATTAGCTTCAAGCTTTTGGGCAAGTGCCAAAGAGACATGGAGAATTCTTAAAGAATAATAAAAAAAAAAATGTCAAAGTGTGATGCTTTATTTTCCATTTTTTTCAAATTGCAAAACATTTTTTTAGGAATTTTATTAAAAAAAAAAAAAACATAATTTCTTGAACTAAAATAACTGAAAAAGATTTTATTTCTTTTTTCTTTTTTGTTGCATTAAGTTCAAGAAATTTAGTATCATACGTATTGGTTCCATATATTTTGCTTAGCCATAAGCTAAGCCTTATCATTTGATAGCATTATTTGTCAAAATTAAGCATAATCATTCTTGGAAATGTTTCTGATACAAATAAGTTCATACTTTCCAAGTCATTTATCTCAACTTTGACCAACTAAACAAATCAACAATGTAAGATAACTAACTCAAACTTCCAAAGAAACCCTGACAACTATAGAGGGAGGGGGTACTAAACTACACAGACAAATGTAACTGTAGAAACATCCATATTTATCTGTTCTAATATAAAGGTTTGTTTTTTTTTTCCATTAATCAGTTAAGTTTAAAAAAAATAAATTTGACTCCTGTGCAAATGGCATATGACTCAAAACATAAAAAAGTGTAATCAACAAGAAAAAATAATCACCTTTTGTTTTTCTCTTGTGGGTCACAGCAGTTTATAGCATTTTACTTGAACTTCTTTTATGTAGTAGTTACTGTGGTGGTCACATTGATTTTTTTTTTATATAAGAACCTGCCACAAGAAATTTCTCTAGGACCAACTGAAGCTTAATGTTTGTTTTTTTTTTTTTTTTGAATCATTAAATGTAAATTATATCACCTTTCCTTTAAGATATGTTTACTTAGCATTGTTTTGATTGTTAGATTATACTTACCTTTCAAGTTTACACATTTAGAGAGATTTGTAAAGAAGTTCAGTATTAAAAAATTCTAATAAATTCAGCTGTTTTATTTCCAGTGACATGACTGATTCATGTGATATTGGAATTTTGTGTGGTAGCATAGACTTATGTTCAAAGTCTGTAAGGAAACTGGACGTGTTGGATGCTAATGATAATTATTTTTTGGCAATCCATATTCAAATACCCAAAAATCTTAAGATAAAAAGAGAAAGTTGTTAAAACTTAGGGAATGAATTCCCCAAATACTATGTAATGCTTTCGTAATATTTTGTTACCTTTAGGCGTCCCATCTTTAGCAGAATGAGTCCGTATTAGATCATAATTACAAAATTACCAAGGATTAGAATTTTTGAGAAATAATTATTAAGAGGTCTAGAATTGGCAGCTTTGAGATACAGTTAATGAAACTTATTGGGATGTATTCTCCAAATACTCTAGATTTCAAATATTGTGCCACCTTTTGCTACTTTTAGGAGCTGAAGATATTTTTCAATTTTTCTGTGTGATTGGCCACCTAAAAATTTTCATTTTTATCACCAGAAAACTGCTAATATGTACTTCTTGTTTACTCCCTGTAAAATTCTAAATGGATATTTGGATGATTCCTTGGCTAAAAATCTATAATGGTATCAATTTTTATTAATTTCTGGCCAGTGAATCAGAAGATATCTGATTTTGTGAGATTGTTGAGTTGGAAAATGCTGATTCATCAAAATTTCAACTTGCGATATCTTGAATGGTTAGGAATTTTCAATTAAAATTTTCAGGATTTTTTAATGACTAAGATCTACAGCAGATAACAAAATAAAAATTATTTTGGGGGGTCTTTACATTGATTGGTTTAATTGATATGGAATGACCCTATTAGTAATTTTTAAAAAATGTGTTACACTAATACAGACAACTGAAAATTGAAATTTTTACAAATTTTGCTAAATTAATTTCAGCTGCTAAGTTATAACAAAATGGTTTTATTTATTATTGGGTGATGATGTATAAAAAAACAGGTCTTTTAAACATTTGCATTTTTTTTAAACCTCTTTGAAAATTGACACTGTGCTGATATCAGACATGAAAATCTTGGAACAAAGTGTCTTGATTGAATTTTGTATATTGTTTCAGGTCTTTTTTTTTTCAAATTACAGACTATTTTTTTTATCTAAGCAGGTTAATAAATAAAATTTTCATGTAAAGTGATGCAAAATTTGCTGTATTATTTATTGAAATTATTTCAAAACTAAAACTTTTGTGATGAAAAGTAAATGATTATCCAGATATTGACAATATTTAACCATTTTGAATTATGAGGGATTTGAAGGAATTGTTAAGACTATTTAACTCATTCTCTTGTCAATTCATTTTATGACATTTTTTGCATTGTTTTTGTTGTTACCAAAATGTTTCAGTCAATCCATTTTATGTCTACCTTCTATCATTTTGAGAAGAGTCATTATCATTCCAAGAGTTCTTCAGACTATTGAACTCATTCCTTGTATTGCTTTTGTTGGTACCACAATGTTTCAGTCAATCCATTCTATGTCTACCTTCTATCATTTTGAGAAGAGTCATTATCATTCCAAGAGTTCTTCAGACTATTGAACTCATTCCTTGTGTTGATTTTGCTGTTACCTCAGTGTTTCAGTCAATCCATTTGTTGTTTACCTTCTAGAATGCTTTTTCTTCAGTAAAAAGATTCTATTTACTTGTTGCACACCTGAAAAACAATTGAGAATCTCACCTAAAATATTTAATCTGAATAATTTTTGAACTGAGGGAATTTGTTGGGCCTAGAACACTTTAAAACGGATCTTTCTCAATTGGTTACAAGCATATTACCTGCAGAACTACTATGATCAATTTAATAGTAATAATAGAATTAAACAACATTGGTATTGTAGTGATTGTATTTAATGGCATATAGCCTTATCTCCCATTACATTTACAGTATTATTTAAAAGGGCCTTAGTACAAGTACTAGTTGTCTACAGCATCTGTGTAAATATTAGGCTACCAGATGACTTTACATGCAAGACTAAGAAGATATTTTGGGAGAGAAAAAGTGTGGGTTGAATATTCTGTTAAATCTGGTAACTTTTCAACTTCTATAATTGACCAGAACAAATAGGCTTTCTTTTGAGAATTTAAGATTATAGATTTTTATTATTCCTGATAGTTTCTTTTATTAGTGTTGGTTCCCCTCTAATTGCAATGACTGTAAAACACTTTCCCTCTCCCCCAATTCATAGGCAGAAGCACACAAATGCATGCTGGGATTTCTTTCTAGCCAATAAAACAGGCCAGTTCTTGGTTTCAAATGACTCAGTCCCTGTCTATCTTGTCTTGAAGTTAGAATGCGAAGTTTGTTCATCTGAATTTGCTTCTGTGGCAACCCCAATTTGTAGTTTGAACTTTTTGCCATATTACTGCTACTTTGTCTTATTACTGTTAATTTACCTTGAATATATTGTTTGCTTACTTTTTATTATTTTTTACCTTGTTCTTTTTCTTGTATTTGTTTATCACAAGCCTTTTTAATTCTGTTTGTTAGTGAGTTCTGCCATTTATTTATTTATATTTAATGATGTCCAGTCACTCTACAATTATTTTTTTTTTTTATAAGCTGTTTATATTCTTGTGTAACTGAAGTAATAATTTATAAATTAAGATTAATTATTTTTTTTTTTTTTTTATAGACTGAGAAGACGATGATGGAACTTGAAATTGATTTGAATCAAAAAATTGGTGAGTGGGATGTTATTCAGGAATCTGGTAGCCAACTAAAACCAATCTATGGTAAAGGTTACACAGGCATGCGTAACCTTGGCAACAGCTGCTACATGAACTCTGTTATGCAAGTCATTTTTACCATCCCGGATTTTAAAGAAAAGTAAGTGACTTACAGCCATTATCTTTTTCCTTTCTTTAAATCAGGATTTTAAGTTTAACTTATCTTTTTAATTTATGAATTTCAACTTGGATTTTTCGACAAGGGAGTGATATATATTGTGTTTTTAATTTATTTATTTGGCAAAAAAGATATGGCTTTTAATATGAAGATATGTACAAATGAAAATGGCAATGTACCTTGAAGGCCAAAGCACTTTTGTGTCGCATGCTGTTTTTGTGAAGAAAACAAAGCTTTGCTGGACAAGATCAGTGAGCATACAAATCCATTTCTCCTCTAGCCAGTAACAGTGAAAGTATTGCAGAGTTAAATAAACAGCTTTAGAGACCATGCAAATCATTTTATCTTCTGGCAGATCAAAATGTGGAGTTGAGTAGACTGCTTTAAAAACTGCTGACTTTTTCTGCCACAGACTATAAGGAAAGTGACATTGGGTGATGCTGAGTGAGTGAAGCAACCTTCATGCTTCTATGAGAAATTCTATTCATTTTTTGACAAGATAATAATCTGGAGTGACTAATGTTACCCCCACTTCGATAATTTAATTTTTTGTATAACTGCCTAATTTTCTACACATGCTGCCATGAACAGCTCTGCTACCATCAAAACCTTCATCAGATGATGACCCTGGTGTCAGGCATAGTTTTGGAACTGAAGCTTCACCAATTTTAACCTTTAACACTCTGTAAGTGACTATTTTCACCAAGCAAAATGTTAGTCTTGTCAATGCAAGTTGAATTACTTGGTTGTGTAGTCATATTCTTCTATGGCAACACCTAAAACAATCTTGACTGAAATTGAGAGCCAGACGACTGCAATTTCAAATATATAATAGAACTAATATATAAAAGACTATATTTTGAGGGGATTCCATATGCAGTAAAAGGGGCAAGTAATTGATGCAGATTGCTAAATGTTACTCAAGAGATGTGCCTTACACTAATACCAGAATTTGTTTGTTTTCTCTCTTAGTGCGGGGATGCCAGACAAAAATGTAATCTTATTGCATATTTCTGCTTGTATCCACAACTCATAAGTTGAGAAATTAATTTGATAATGTGGGATTTGGATTAACTGACCAAATGACCAGGTCAATATACTGAGTGGTTTATATGAATTTTAACTAAAAAAGAAAAAGAATATGACAGTCACCAGGAGAAGGCTGGGAATAGAACAGCGAAAATCATGTGACTATAGAAATGGCGGCAACAGTTTGGATAAAATGGTGCATAATAATAAAATGTATTACTGATTTTATAACTTTATTGAAATTTATTCTAAACTTTATTTTAAAGAGATGCTTTTCAAGATTTACAGGAAAATTTGCTTCGGAATTCTGAAAATTTTGATTCTTTGCATTTTAAACCTTAGATTGAAAAAGATTGACTCTTTATATCCTGTGCAAGAAAAATCTTGATTCTTATGTAAGAAGATGTATTTGTTGTTTACAAATATTTTACATGAGTTTTTTTTTGCTTGATACCGAAGCTATTTTATTTATCAGCTACTAAAATGAGGATCTGCTTTCTCTATGTTAGTCTTTTTGCTATCATTAGAATGCTTTAATCTGAAGAATAAAACCTTTTTCCATTTCATTTGGTCCCCAATTTCAGGGTAATTTTTAAAAAAGTGTAAATTTGAGTAATTGCCTTTTTTTTTTTTTTTTTTTTTTTTTTTTTTTTTTTTTTGTGAAATAGGAAAAACAATTTTGGGAAACTTAACCTCTGTCCCTTTTGCATAAAAGGATATTTTTTTTTTTAAATTGGAGCCTCACTGTAAAAAGTTGTTGTTTTTTTTTTTTTTTTTTAATTAAAATTTTGTCTGTCATTTGTTTAGAGAACAGTTTGCTCAAAAAAAAAAAAATGAAGAAAACATAGAAAAAGAGTGTCAATATTTTAGAATCACGCCAATGAAATAAACCGAACATGCATTAAGAGTAGGATTGGAAATCTAAGATAGACAACTCTAGTTCTATTTATTGTTAATTGGAGTAGTTTTCCTTGACCTGTTTGTACTCTTCATATGTCTACTACAGTTACATCCCAATCCTTAATCTATCTATATATAAAATTCTGTGACTTCTGGTAGTCCATCTAAGATAAGCCATACATTGACCTATTGAAACCAAACTTTGGTGGGGAAGTGCAAACAGGTAAGTGGGTACAAAGTACAGTTGGTTTTATTATTGTACATAGCTTAAATAAATTTTCATTCAAATAGTTGAAATTTGGCTCCAGAAAAAAATATTTATGCATGGTCAGTTATATGTTGCCTGCTCAAGAGTAAGAAATCCTAAGAATTTATTCTTCGCTCTTAAAAAGGGGAAGACATAAAGAAATTTTCTTAAAAAATATTGTTAAGCTGAGAAGTATGGTTTTTGTCAAAGTATTTTTGTTTTTCAAACAAATCAGCTTATACATTATTTACATTATTTGGACCATTGTCCTCATCTTTGTCGTCATATTTATTACGTTTTGGCTCTTGTATGCTCCAGCCTTCTTCAGGTAGTTGGAATGTCGAACTGAACCCTTTATTTCACTCACTGGGGTAGACTGTTCTAGTTCCACGTACCATGTTTAATGGATGTCAGTTATCAGTTATCTCCTGTTAATTTCCCCCTGAAAGTTCTCCACTGCCCTAACCGGGTATTGAACTCAGTCTTTTGGTTCTGTCACTGGATCTAATCAACGCCTTTATCCACTGGCACAATGGATAAAGGCGTCAAGTAAAGAGTTAAGTTCGACATTCCAACTACTTGAAGAAGGCCGGAGTGTACAACGGCTGAAATGTTGTAATAAATATGGTGACAAAGATGAGGACAATAGTTTGAATAATGTAAATAATGTACATAATACCTCATCTCAGAAACATAGACATATCAGCTTATTCAAATTTCATCGATTGGTTTATGAAATTGAACGAAATGTACACAAATTATTTTTCGTTTTTCACAATTTATAAATACTAGTAGAACCTGTGAAAATTTCAGTTTTCCTATTTGAATTTTTTGATGTATCATAATTTTTAAGTTAATGACTGAATGAACTACTTGTGAGTTCTATAAATACTTGTGGAAATTCTACTATTGCATTGTTAAATATTTGAGCTTAACAAAATATTGCAATAACAATCATAAATATGAATGCAGGTTATTACAATAAAGAAGTAAGATGTACAAATGAAAAGATTTGAAGTTGACAAATTTTTCATTGAAGCTAAAGGAATCTTACTCATAATTTATCTGATGCATTAGTCATACACAGAAATAGTTTCAACCACAACTTTGATCTTAAAAATGCTATATTTATTACAAGAGAAAATAAGACAGAATGTTCTTGAGATTGCCCTTATTGACTCTTGCTAAAATGTTAACCTGAACCCCAGATTTTTTCATATATCTCCTTTATTAAAAGAAATACTTCTTTCACAAGCCGACATACATAACCATAAAACTTTTTTTAAAGATTAAAAGGAAATGATTAAATCAAAACCTTCTATTATTTAAAATAAATAAATACATAAATAATTTATTAAAATAAAATGTTAAATAATAAGTACATTAATATAAAAAGAAATAAGTAAATAAATAAATATAAACATATAAGAAAATAAAAAATTCAGCAACAACAATATTTACTTGTTTTTGTTTATTAGGCATGAAATTATATCACTTAGAGTCCTCCATAGTTTACCTTGACTTTAACAGTTAGCATTAAGAATATTTTGAGTGTATTTAATCTTAAAAAATTAAATAAATATACTGTTTAATAAATAAATACAGCATCTACTCAGATATGAGTATCTACTAATAATATTTCAGTAGCAAAAATCTGTTGGATTAATAAATAAAAAAAAAAAATCCATTTCTTTTTTTTTACATATATAGAATTAATACAAGTTCACTTAGCTGATTGGTGTTACCTTCAGCATCCTGACTCCAGAGTTTCATAGATGGACCCTCCAGTAATCACTCTGTCCACTCATCAGTGGATGCACAAATGTTACTGAGCAATGTTTAGAAAGTTAGAAGTAGTTGATTACTTGAATTTCATTTATATTATTTTTTGATTCCAGATATTTTAACCACATGGAGGAATTGTTTGCAACAGCCCCTAATGATCCTACATCAGATTTTAATGCTCAAATGTAAGTATTTTAAAATTTCTGTCATTTCATAATGCTCAAAAATTCTTTACAGCATTGATTATTTTACTATGTTGAAGATCTCTTCAAAAAAAAAAAAAAAAAAAAAATTATAGTAGAAAAACTTTTTTTTTTTTTTTTTGCTTTGTTTTATTAGTTTGTAAAAAATGTAATGTTTTTTAAGTAAATTTCAGTGACAATATTACTGGTGTACAATTTTTCACAAGGTGTTAATTCTTATGCATTTTGGCATGCTGAATTTGAGAATGACCTTCAAATTAGATGAGTGGCTCTAGACTTAGAGATATTAATCAGTTATGCCCATAAACATGAGTAAAAAAAAAAAAATAGTTGTCTCCAAGTAAAACAATGTTGCTTTGCAAAATCTGCTTTGATGTTTTGTTCTGTACTATCGTAGGTTACCAGAGCAAAATACAAACTCAAGCAGGCAATATATGTGTGTTATGGTGGAACACACCTATTCTATAGTTAATAGACTCGCCCACCTAAAATAAGTAGGAGTAGTAAGAGTAACAAGAAAGTTGCTCAATCAGTCGATGCCAGACGACCGTTAGTCAGATATTAAAGTATCAGCTACCACAACTAGATTTACTCTGCGTCATTACCTATTATATCAAGTTCCTAATGTTTTGTACGTCGAACCTATTTTAGGACCGACTTAGTATAACTACAAGCCTCCACTGTGAAACTACTCCACAACAATGTGTTTATTGAATAAAATACAAACAGAAAACTCTTTTCAGAAGTATATACATACGCAGTTATTCAGCAACCACATATCAGTTTGTTTTCTATAAACTGCAGCCGAATCATCTCTGGTCACAGTCCAACAATAATTAACCTGCATTGATGGACTCCACCCACCTTAATACCATTTTCTCCTTTGCTTCAATGTCTTCATGAAATTTTTCACTGTGCTTGTCACTTACAGCAAGACAGTTTTTTTAGGTGCTGGGGGTGTCTAAGAAGTGGACATCAAAGACATGTTACATCCAAGATGTTTGTACAGATGTTTGGAGGTCTTCTGCCAGTTTTCTGTTATTTTCTACCCTTTCATTACCCAGAAAGTTTGTTGCCATTGACTTGAAAGCTTTCTATGCACTTTTTTTTCCCTTTCCACGGAGTACTCTGCCAAAATTTTAATCCAAAATGAATCCGGGGAACAACAAAAATGCCTTCATTTATCTTTGCTTCACTTATACTGAGAAATGGATTCTGCATATACTTGAATGCTACCTTTGTTTTGTCCATAGACTTCACAAATTTTTTTCAGATGTGAAGAGGTGGCAACAAAATTTTCTTTGACTCAACTAGTGGTGGATTCTGAACATTTTCCTTCCAGGTTCCAGTGATTGTTGTAGTGACCAGTTTCTCTTGATATAATGAGAACTTCTATCTCGGCTTCCCCATTCACAAAGAAATCAACAGTACTTGGTATATCCACGTTGCACTCCTAGCAAGAGAGCAACAACCTTCAAATCTCAGCAAAGTTGCCATTTATGTTGATCATAATTAGTACACTTCAGTAGTTGTTTCATATCATAAGTTTTTCTTTTTTTTTTTTTTTCATGTGAACTGCATGACCATTTGAAGGTAAAACCATTATGTAACAAGGCAGCTTTGAATCTTGTCTTTGAGGAATCAATGAACAGCTTCCATTCCTCTGTGTCGTAACTGATGTTAAGTGATTGCATAAGACCACTAATATCATTGCAGTACACCAAATCACCTTCCATAAAGAAGAATGGGACTAGATTCTTGTGTCGATCATAGAAATGGGAAATCCATACATCACCAGCTTATAAATTCCACTGCTGGAACCTAAGTTCTGCTTTACTCTTAGGAAATTCTAAATTTCTCAGTCTTTTAGGTTACTTTTAGTTATGAGTTATAGTTCAGAAATGGATGTTGGACAATAATCTTGGTCATATGAAGTTGATGGTTCAGGCTCTTCCCCATCATCTGACTCAATTCCACACGATTCTGATGCTTCCGGGACTGTTATGTCTTCATTATTGGGGGCAGGAAGCAAAGCTGATGGAATGTTTAAATATTGCACCATTCATTTCTTTTTCTTTGACAGTCCCTTAGCAATTGGTGGCACCATGCAGAAGTAGTAATCAGTGGCATCATTGGTTGTCTCTCTTGAAATCAAGGCCACTGCAAAAGGCATAGATATTTTTTTTCTTCCTGAAATTTGTTGCACAGGCATTACAGTATATATGTGGTGCCCACTTCTTGTCTTAGTCTCCAATTTTGCATCCAAAATATAATTGGTATTCTTTTCTCACAATCGTTGTTATATTTCGCTTTTGAGATGCAAAAGTCACTTTGCCACAGAAGTTATCAGATTTGTCCAGACATTTGTGAGGATTTTTCCCAGGTAGCTTAAATGTGTGGAAAACTGGAGTGGGAAGGAGAATAATTATATATAATAAGCTTATTAAGAAAATAATAATTAATCTGGCAAGGACAATAATTTCGCTGAAATATTTATATAATCCTTGTAATGTATTTTGAAATCTAGAGCCAATCAACAATTTGGGATATAATTTTTGTTTTCAGTGCTCAAAAATTAGTTAAGATTGGCTATTTTTGATTTTGAAGCTTTCATGTTGTACACTCCTTCCCAGTCTTTTGAACAGGAGTAGAGGTTTATCTCTTGTTTCCTGTTTAGGATTGGGTTTCTGGTTCCTTCTGAAAGTTTCTTTCAGCTCTATACTCCTAATGCATGTCCTTTCTTATGCTAATAAACTCCACCCAGTAACTCTCTACCTTAAGTGGCTCTCGGGTCTTGTATTGGGTGAACATTAGTTTAAAAAAAAGAAAGAAAAAGAGACCAGTGTTATTAATTCATGTTTTATACTAACATGGAAAAATAAACCTGCAACTTGATATCCATCAGCTAAATTTTGGGTTTTAAAATTTTCACTGTATAATATCAGATTGGTAAACTCATTATGTTAAGAACATTGATGAAGGAAGAGATTGTTGAAAAAATAAATATTTATTAAGTAAAATTTTTTAATCATTAGGCTGTGTATTTCTTCATGAATGTACATATTTATTTGACTATATTGTGTGGCATTCTTATTTTCAAGTTAATTACTTTCCAAATATTCTTAAGTGTATACAAGGTCTGATCAAAAAATATAGGGACTGTTGCTACGGTAACAGACCTAAAGTATGCAGAGTGAAGTTGCTTGATACAGAATAACCTTGAACTCTGTTGCGCATACACACTAAATTATAACAGTCTTGCTCCCTTTCATTGTTTATAGAAGTGCTTGAAAGGAAAGTGTCGGGTGTGGTCATCTCACCACCCCACAGAACACATTTTGAAAATGGTCATAACAGGTGACGAATTGTGGTTCTATAGCTATGACCCTAAAACCAAGGGCTTAGTCGTCAGAGTGGAAGATCCCCCCCCCAATCTCTTTGAGACTGAGGAAAACATGAGTCGAAACAATGTGAAGACACTGTTGACAGTTTTTCTTTGACTACAGGACATTGTTCATCATGAGTATGCTCCACCATGTCAGACAGAAAACAAGGAGTACTACTGTGACATACTGTGACATTTGCAGGATGCTGTCTGTCAGAAAAGTTGCATGTGTCTGGTGAATGGCAACGCCACCATGACAGTGCACTTTGCTCATTCAGTGCAGCTTATGCAGCAGTTTTTGTCGAAGCACACATTTCCTAGATCTGAAAACAAACCATATTCTCCAGATCCCTTACAACTTTCCAAAAATAAAATCACGCTTGAAGGTTTATGGCCGCATTACATTGCAACATTGGTTCCTGTATGATCACTGAAGTTAAGTAGCATCAAGCTTGGTCAGTCTCTAGATAGGAGACTGCTTGGGAATACCAGGTGCTGTAAGCTTGGATCTGCAGGTGGTAAAATGGATAATGACTTTGAATTGTTAATCAGAGAACAGAGTTCAAATTCCAGTTGGGTTTGTTATATTCACTTACATGGGAAAGGTAAGAATATCTGTTTTCTTGTCATAGCTATGGGTTAATTAGTAAGACTTGTACCACTAAATCACTATCTCTAAAAAAAAAAAAAAAAAAATTCTTACTATCTAAAAGTATTTTCAGGCTTTAAATAAATTGCAAAGAGTTGATAAGCTGTAGAAAATGAATCATTCAATAAAAAAATTCCTCTTGAAAGGAACAAGAAGTCAAGGAAATTTAAGAGAATGTGACAAGGCAGGTGATCGCTATCCCAAAGTAGGAGTACCAGGAATGCTTCCATCAATAGAAACAATGCTGGATAAAATGTGGCTTTAGAAGTGGACTATGTTGGAGGAAATTAAATCCCAAATTGATATGTTCTTTTTAAAGCATCAGTCCTGATGCTTTTTAATGAGACCTCGGACAAATGAAAATTTTTTTTTTTTTTTTATTCAGGTCAAAATTGTCTTATGGTCTTCTTTCTGGAGATTATTCCAAGCCCCCCAATGAGGATGAAACAGAAGAGGCTGAATATTTGTCGGTAAGGTTTTCCGTTAGAAAATGTGTTCCTGCACTTTTTTTTTTTTTTTTTAATTATATTCCTTAACTTTATGATCAGCAAATCCAAGATTAATTAAAATGGTACATGCACGATTTAAATGATAAATAGATAATTATCAAACTTCTTACTCCTGAGAAGAAAGTCTTCCTCTTTTTTTATCCACAAATATCAGTGACGTTGTGGTCTTTTGGTCTTTGTCTAAGAATAGTGCCATATTTGCTATACTTGAATTGAAGAGTTTGTTGGAAATTCTCTTTTAGAGCAGGAGTACACTGCTCTAAAAGAGAAAGTTTTTTTTTTTTTTTAAATTGTGGCTGAGAGATGGCTGGATTTTACTCTTTGTTTTTTAAATCAGAGTTATCTTCCCCTTATTTAGCAAACTGTATTTTCTCTTGAATTGTCTTGCCTGCCACTGTACTTTATTTTTTATCTTTTTTTGAGGGAGCAAAAACAACAGCACCTACGGTTTTAAAATTGTTATAACTTTATTTGTATTGCGTGTATAGATTTTATGTTTTGTATACTAATAAAGGAATGGATAAATAATATTTTGACATAATGCATTATGTTCTGCATGCATGGTTTGACATTGAAAAAAAAAATTGAAAAAAGTAAAAGTATTTTCCTTAAAATCAGTCAGCCATTGATGATAGCATCTGCTCCATACATCGTTCTTGCTATTGCTATCTCCGTCATCACCATTACTTCCCCATCAATATCTGCCTGAGTAAATCCACCAAAATCAGCTGATTCTGAATCAAAGAATATTCCTGAAATTCAGGAGCAGCCATTTTCGTCCAAGGGGTGGGGGAATAAAAAAAAAAAACAACCTCATCTTCAATTTCAAAATTCTGTATCTCATGTCAAGTGAAGAACAATGCAAATGGTGTGTTGGAAAATGGAAGTTTAACCTCGTTTTGAATTGAAAGTAGGCTGTTTCTAGCTTAAAATACTGGAAATAAGTTTAGTGAAGTGTTTATTTTAAGCATCCTTTCTCAAGGTCACATGATGTACCTACAGCATGCTAAAGGTTTTAAATTGGTTGACAACAATAGTTAAAGAATCCAGACTGTACATTGCCCTATTGTTAACAGTACATAAAATGGAATTGGAGTCAAGTTGAAATTTTTGTTGAGCCGTTTTATTATTTTATGAGAAAATATTAGAACAGAAATAATGTAAAGAGAAGTGATAAAAAAATTAAACCATTTTTTTTTTTTTTTTTTTTTTTTTGTAAGAAATTAACATTTTGATTTAATTTTTGATAGTAAATGCAAATGACACAGTATAATAAAATGACAGATGAAAATAATCCTGTTTCCATCTTGAGAAAATATATAGTTTGAAGGTCTACTATATTTATGGATAAAAGTGTTCAATATTAAAACAAGATTATTTACATTGCTTGGACTGTTGTTCTCATCTTTGTTGCCATATTCCTAACAGAAGAGGCATGACATGAACTAGAACAATCTACTCCAGTGGACAAAAGCTGGAGCATACAACAGCCAAACCGTCCTGGAAATAGCAACAAAGATGACAATAGTCAGAACAATGTAAATAATTACAATACCTTATCTCAGAAATATAGATAGATATCAGAGATAGATTGGGCATAAATATAAAAGTGGACACTAAAATCAACACTGAGTGGCGACAGTCTATTTCACAAACATGGTCTGAAGATTGTGTTCAAGCATGAAACATTCACCACTGAGTGTTGACCTCAGTGTATACTTATATATATATATATATATATATATATATATATATATATATAGTATCAGCAGAGATTAAATTTTTGTGGTTCACTAGCATCATCATATATTTTTCCCCCATAAAATTCTTGCTGAAACTGATTGCACATAAAACCCACTTTCTTTTTAATATATTAAATGTCATAAATCTGTAATAAATACACAAAAAGAAATTTCATTTTGAACTGATTCATATTCTACTTAGTTTAATTGATTTAAATTCCACTCGAGTATAGAATTGCAGTTCATTCTTTTGTGTTGTAAGGAGGTTGGTGTTTTATTCTTGTTCAATAATGATAAAATCAATGACTAAAGATCAGTATTTCTATTAAAGTTTTTTTTAATTTTTTTAAAGCCTCCCAAAGGAATTCGGCCACAGATGTTTAAAAATCTCATTGGAAGAGGACATCCAGAATTTTCATCGAAACGCCAACAAGATGCACAGGATTTTTTCCTTCATTTAATCAACTTTATTGAGGTAAATTAATGGAGATGAGGATAGGACAGATTTCTCTTTATCTTTTCAACTGGTTTGCCAGAAACAAGAACGTTGACATGTCTGGAAGGGTTTTTTTGGGTTAAAATTGTCTTTTTCTCTTCTCTTCATTTTTTCTCTCTTCTCTTTCTTTTCTCTGTCTCTCTTTTCTCTGTCTCTCTTCTCTTTCTTTTCTCTCTTCTCTGTCTTTCTTTCTCTCTTTCTTTCTCTCTGTTTCTTCTGTCTCTGTCTCTCTTTCTTTCTCTGTCTTTTTCTTTCTCTTCTGTTCTCTTTTTTTTTGTTCTCTGAGATTTTCTTTTCTGTCTCTCTTCTCTTTTCTGTTCTCTGTCTCTCTTCTTAATTTCTCTCTGTCTTTCTTGTCTCTTTTCTTTCTAATCTGTCTCTTCTTTCTTTTTATGTCACAGTTGTTTAAATTAGGATATTGTCTTTTTTAATCCAAAACAATGTTTTACATCTAAAGTTTTATTTTATTAATTGACAATATTTACCTAATTTCTTGTTTTTTTGTTTTTTGTCTATTTTGAGAAAATAACTTTATTTTAATCTGGAAAATATATTTATTTTTAAGGTGTTCTGAAAAGGATTAGAGATCTTCCATCAGTGTTTCTACAAAGCTCAGTGATAACTCCCTTTTTTCTTTTTTCTCTCTTTTATTTTGGAGAAACATTTTCACTTTAGCAACTTTTCAGACAGTTTATTTTCTGTCTCTTTTCCGATATATATTTATATGTCTATATATATATTCTCTATCAGTCTAATATATATATATCTCCTCTGTTCTCTCTAAAATTCTCTAATCTCTCTTATATTCTGTCTCTATATATATATATTATCTCTATTCTCTTTCTGTTCTCTGTCTATATATTTCTGTTCTCTGTCTCTCTCTCTTTCTTTATATTATTATTCTCTCTCTCTAATACTATGTCAAATTTATCTTTCTGTATCTCTATATATATATTCTATTCTAATTTCTGTTCTCTGTCTCTGTTCTTTTTCTATTCTCTGTATCTATAATTAGAATTATTTCTATATATCTCTTCTTTCTATATATATATGTTCTATATATATATATATTTATTCTTTGTCTCTCTTTCTCTGTCTCTATATATATATATATCTCTGTCTCTATTATCTGTTCTATATCTCTCTTATTTATATATATTTTTATATTCTCTTTCTATTCTATATATAATTGTTCTCTTTCTATTCTATATATATATATATATATTCTCTTTATTTATATTATATATATATATATCTTTTGGTCTCTCTTCCTTTATTTTCTCTGTCTTGTCTTCTTTTCTCTCTTCTTTCTAAAAGTCTCTCTCTCTCTTGTCTGTTCTCTTCTCTCTCTTCTCTGTTCTCTGTCTCTCTTCTCTGTTCTCCGTCTATATCTTCTCTGTTCTCTGTCTCTCTTTCTGTTCTCTGTCTCTCTTTCTTTTCTGTTTCTTTTATATATCTATAGTATTTCTTTCTCTTCTGTCTGTCTATATTATATATAATATGTCTCTCTTTTATCTCTTCTCTTTTATTATCTTCTCTGTCTCTTGTCTCTTTGTATATATATCTCTTTCTCTGTCTCTGTCTCTTTCTCTTCTTCTCTGTCTCTCTTCTCTTTCTGAAAACAAAAAATTATTTTCTTTTTTATCCAAAATTTTATGTATAGTACATATATTTAAATTATAACTATATTGTCTTTATATTTTAAAAAAAATAGAGTTGTTTTACATGACTAAAGTTTTAATATTAACCTTTCTACATTAATTGACATCAGGACAATTCCATATATTTCACATTATTACACACACATATATATATATATATATGTTTCAAAAGTTACTATTTTGAAAATAACTATAATATATGAGAAATAGGTTTAATATATGGAAATATATTTATTTTAAGGTGTATGTTGAAAAGGATTATATATATATATATATGACCATCAGTGTTTCTACAAAGCTATGATGAGGTATATATATATATATATAGCATTTGAGGTGTTATTTTTTTGAACTGCAACACTAATGGAATTATTTTGGAGAAAAAAATATATAATATTTCACTGAAATAGATAGCATTATTTTCAGACATATATTGTGTGTGTGTATATATATATATAATATATTATGGTCTATATATATATATATATATATATATATATATATAATATATAAAATATATATATATATATATATATATATATATATATAATATTATATGAAAATCTATATATATATATATATATATATATATATATAATATTATGAACTATATATATATATATATATATATATATATTCTATATATATATATATAATATTAGTGGTCTATATATATATATATATATATATATTAGTGGTCTATATATATATATATATATATATATTATTAATATATCTATATATATATATATATATATATATATATATATATATATATATATATATATATATATATATATATTAGTGGTATATATATATATATATAATATTAGTGGTCTATATATATATATATAACATATACTGGTTATATATATATATATATATATGGTATATATATATATATATATTAATTCTATATATATATATAATATTATTCAAATAAAAAGATATATATATATATATTTAGTGGTCTATATATATATATATATATATATATATATTTTCATATCTATATATATATATATATATATATATATATAATATTATATGGTCTATATATATATATATATATATATATATATAATATATATGGTATATATATATATATATATATATATATTATAATGGTCTATATATATTTATATATATATAAACACACATAAATTTCCAAGAGGATAGAATCCAGGTAGAACTCAATGTCCAGGACAGAGTAAGGATATAAATAAAGGGTATTGGAAAATACTAATATTCTAATATATATTATATAGATTTATTATATATTGGAATCAAATTAGTTCTAATTCATCAGACCTATAAAAAAACAAATATATGAAGATATTTTTTTATTTCTTTAAATGTGTAGGTCTGATGAATTGATTGTATATATATATATATATATAAATTAGTAATAAAATTATAAACATGGAATATTAGTGTTTGAACTTTTTTTTCTATCTGCCCTATCGGTTGGCATATTAAGCTAGTGGCAAGCTCTTTATATATTAGGGCCTTCATCACAATAGGTAGAGAGGAATATATTTTATGTGACTTTTTAGTTGATTTTTGCAATTAATTTTGATTATTCCCAAATTTATTTCCAAGTTATAAAAATTATCATATAAAAAAAAATTGTCTTAAAAAATCACCTAAAAAAATTGCCAAAAAAAATCACAGTAATGAAAAATTGAAATCCAAAATTTGAAATGTGTATTTGAAATTATGGGGATTGCAGATCTGGATAAAAGGAATAGAATATTTTTAATTTGCTTATAGTGTCATCATACCATTATTGGAATTGGGCTATGTTGGGTTATGGCCTCTAGGATCAAAGTTGAAAAAATTGTGACACACTGACATTCACATTTATTATATAGAAGATATATATCTTGATTTATTTCTATATCTTTATTGATTTTTATTTCTAAAGATTTAATGAATTTATTTTTGATCTGAAATTTTTTATACTACTTCAAACATTATTTTTTTTAGTGGATAAATTTAATATATTTTTGATCTGAAAAACTTAAAGAAAAACATGTGCCCTCTGGCAGGTTTTTAAATCTGCATCCCCTTTTTAGGAGATTGGAGATTGGACAATGATTTCTCCTGCAAAGGGGGACTATGGGTTAAATAGTAGGACTCTTATCTGGAAAAAAATTTTCTCCCCAAAAATTGTTAATGTAATTGTTATATAGGAATAAAGTGTTGTTGCCTTTACATTTGAGTTTGAACATAGGTTGCCAGTGAGCAAACAGAGGTGATCCCATTATTGAATTAAGTAGACCATGTGACCATAGAGGAAATGTATATATGGAAGGTAGCATGATGTCTAATTGATCTGCATTTCTAGTTTATCCTCTATTACTATTCAGATTGTTATTTCTAGTCTATCCTATTACTATATGCACAACTATTCTCTTCACTATACTATTTCTTTGTTCAGATCACTATATGGATTACTATTTGAGTGAGTATTATCAAGCAAGTACTATTATTGTGTCAGTGCTATTTGAAAGCATCTGACACCACATTGTTCATTGGTGTTTTATAGTTGTACAAATTATAAAAGTCTCTACTACAATGAGCAGTTATTTTAAGTGACAATGAGTATTCATTGACATCACAAAAGTAATATTCATTCACAAAGAATTACTATTCTGACAATCCCCAAAAATATGTTTTGGCTTTTTTAGTAACCCAAAAAGGGCTGATAAGCCGAAAAATCAATCTTTCTTGGAAGATACTTACTGTATAACATGTTTTTTTTTTTTTTTTTTTTACTGACACTTTCCTCTTTCCATTTGATCTTGTGCTTAGTAAATATAAACTCATGATTTTTTACTGTGAATTTAGCAAAATTGTGATGAAAGCAATGATGATAATATCTATAATCTGTCCAATGAATATATTTTCCTTAATCATGGTCACAAATCCCACAACCCCTGAGGGTCATAGAGGCATCACATATACTGCAGTTGTAGCAGCAGTGGTGTGTCTTGCCTGATGAAACCCTCCCCTCCCCAAGCTGATTTGGATTCACTTTTACTTCTCTTAGACTAGTTGCCAACCAAGGCTAGAGAGCCCAGTCTCTCCCGTTATTTAACCCATAACTGGGGGAGAAGAAATGGATTTATATTTTTTCCAAGGGTATTTGCATGTAAGCGAATGTAACAAAATCTACCCGAATTTGAACTTGGCTCTCCAGTTTCTCATTCCGATCCATTATTTCCTTACACAACTTGCACATCCTTTAAAGAAAGAACTTGTTTACAAAATCAACATTCCTTAACACTTATATAAAATGGTGGTGGCTTATATGGTTGAAAGACCAGCAGATTGTTGTCAGTTTTAAAGATGTACTGGGAAATCTTGAATCAAGGGAAAAAGTCACTGAAAATTTAAGGAAATTTACTCCTTCAAATTTAATTGGTGTTCCCAAATAATGGGAATTGATGCATCATCATAAATGCATATTCCTCTAAACAGACTTCAAAGCAATTTCAGGGTGTGGCAGAAATACCTCCCATATTTTTAAGGTTGACAAAAAGACCAAGGTACTGCTATTAAAAACATTATTTCACTGTTGTTTAAACAAAGAACTACAGTTTTTATACATTTGGTTTTAAAAAGGTCATCCTCCAAATGGTGACTTCTATTTGTAATTTTAGATGATTTTTATAGTTTTCCATCACCCAGAAGTCTACCTGGTGGCTTTCTTTTAAGTCCTGATCCTGTAGCCCTGAAATTTTCTACTCATTATCAATTTTTCTATCTGGAAAAACCATCATTCTGATGTAACATGAAATGAATACAAAAAAACCATGTGTAAATTTAAGATTCACCAGTCTTAAAGAAAAGGTATTTATACTATATTTATAATAAATTTATATTAATTTTTCATTGCCAATATCTCAAGTGGCTCAAAGCCAACAGACTGCTTTTGTACAAAGTTGAAGAAAAAGTGAAATGCGTTTCTTCTGGAAAAGTCCGATACACGATAGAACTGACTGCATTTTTGGTGTCCCTGTGCCTTTTTGGAAGCTGCTACCAATAAAGGTAGAAATTTTTCTTAACCATATTTTTTTTACTTGTAGATCTTTGTTTACAGGAATTTTAGTATTTTTGAAGATCAATTAAACTTTTTTTTTTTATTAGTAATCATTTCACCCTCAAACAAGACAATAAAGCCACTAAGATGTAAGGAGTTACAGGATGTGAAAGAATATGAGAAGTAAAACACTGTTATGGAGAGAGAGAGAACAATAAAAATACAATAATTAAGAAAACGGAAGATAACGATTGACATTGAAGAAGATCATTGTTGACGTTTCAGTCAACAATGAAGTCATAAGAGAGTTCCACAAGTGAGCAGAAACTGTTAGCATAGAACTTATTTACATCTAGCAATTTTAAATGGTAAAATGATGAGACTAAGCTGTCGCTCTAGTAGTGTTCTTAAATTTGTAAAGTCAAGGTACCAAAGAGGAACAATTACCCTGAAAATTAGTTTAAAAATTAAGTCTTCAAAGGTTGCATGATTGCAAGTATATATTGTATGTATATATGCTTACTATGAAATAAATGTTGCAATTCATATTTTATGATTTGTATATCATACTTATTATAAAACCCAGGTTGTGTGTGTGTCTGTTCGTTTATATATTGGATTGGATTTCCTACATTTTTCAACTGATTTCAACAAAACTTCACAGGACTATGTAAAATTACGTTGCGGTGGTTCTGACAGTACCCAAAATTGGAAAAACACAATTGTTTTTGCATGAAATCAATTTGAAAACACGATTAAGAGGCATTGCGAGAATGAAAGGGGGACAACTCATATCGAGTTATACTTATTATAAAACCCAGGTTGTTTGTGTGTGTGTGTATGTGTTCATTTATATATGGGATCGGATTTCCTACATTTTTTCAACCGATTTCAAAAAAAACTTCACTTTTTTTTTTTTTTTTTTATTGTCTTGCACACTTTTTCTTTATTTTCTTCAGAATTTTTTTCCATATTTTTACATTGTTTTTAAAAAAATTCTATTCAATCGGTAGACTCATAACGATTGAAAACAATGTTTTTGTTTGGTTTGGGTTTGACCAATTCGTAAAAAAAAAAAACAAAACAAAAAAAAACTAATTAAGACATGCATGTCTGTCAACCTTAAACAATAATCTTTGTCAATTTTATTATTCAGTTTTTATGATGGTCGATACTTGATCTATCTCTTACTGTTACATCCCTGGGCAATGCCGGGCTCTGCTGCTAGTGTGTAATAAATTTAATTTATAGACAGACCCATTATATTTTATAGACAGACCTATTATAATGAATGAAAAAAATGTATTTGATCTTTAAAAGATCCTTTTGTGTTCATATGATCTTTAATTTAAATTCTTAATTATTTCACAAATGTAATTTTTTTTCTTTATTATTTCACCCCAAACAAGGCAATAACGCCACTAAAATGGAAGGGGTCATGATTGATGTTGCATTTAAATTTTCAAAGAACAAACTTGACTGGGAAGCAAGAAGCCAGATAAGAGTTCCACAAGTGAGAAGTGTGAGAGAAGAAACTATTAGCATAGAACTTACATTTACATCTAACCATTTCAACTGTAAAATGGTGAGACCTTGCTGCTAATCAAATTCTGCACATAAATTGATCAAGTCTAGGTACTGTAGAGATGAGTTCATCAGGACAATTACCATGAAAGTATTTATAGAAAAAGCACAGGGAAGCTATGTTACGGTGGTGGGAAAGTGACTGAAGCTGAGATTGAAAATTTATTTCTAAAATATACTAGTTTTATGATAACTCGCAAACTGAATTTAAATTTTGGGTTATCTACACATTTATTGTCCTTTCTTCTCATTCTCTTTCACTCCCCAAATAAACACCTGGCTACAAAATGCAATTAAAACCCCACCCTTATATAAAAACAACTTATAAAAGAATTTGTCTTCAAAATAGACACAAAATAAAAACAAATCTTAAAACTACCTGATTCGGTGTGGAATTACCTATGGGGTTGGTGTGGCAGTAAAAAATCTTTTATTTCCAGTAACCCCATTCATCCTAGTGTCATTATTGCTTTGTTTTGGGTGAAACGATTAAAAAAAAAAAAAAAAAATTAAAAAAAATGATTTTCCATCTCATTATAGCTACCAAGATAATGCCTTAAAAAATGGCTTAAATTAAACAGCTTAGCGACTGGTCTCCTAAAAGCAAACAGGTTTTATGTTTCTGTCTGTGAGATGGGATTGGTTGGATTTATGCTTTCTGTTTTGTTACTAATGGAATAAAAAAAAAAAAAAACCTCAAAGGTAATTTAAATCTGGACGTGTATGGTGATTTCTATTGTGAATTGTATTTTATTTTTTTTTAATTATTTTCCAGTGGAAGTTTCTGCATATGAAGCAAAGAAAGCCCAGTTAGAAGCCCAAGGTCAAAAAATGTAAGTCTTTGTTATATATCAGGCTCAGTATCAAAAGATGTTTACTCGTTAAGTGCTAAACAACATTAATTACATAATGTCCTCTTCTTGAAATGCATGCCTCATCTTCATTTTGTCCTCACAATGTTGTGACTGATATCGACTTTCCAGTTCTGGATCTGGGAACTGCCATTGTTCTGTTCTTGGCCTGCATATGTCAGGGGTGAATGAACGAACAAAACAAAACATTGGTGCTGAAAGTATTAACTCTTTGAATTTGAAATGTTTGGAAATTTACTTAAAATAGTTGAAACTATGAAAAATCTGAAGTTTAATGCTTTGTTAGTATGGTGGGATGTCTTTGAACACCTCTCCCCAACTCCAAAGTGTACAAGAAAACGTTCAAATACTATGATGTACAAAACCATACCATACTTTTCAAAAACATATGTGATTTTCAAATAATAGGCTACCTGAAAGAAGTAGGCTGCTTCCAGCATTTATAAAAGAAAGCACAATCTTGTTATCTACAAAAAAAATAAAAAAACATACATTTACCATGAAAGTATAAAATTGCATACAAAACATCTGTAGTTAAAGCCATAAAGTTGCATACAAAATATTTGGATTTCGGCATTGAGTGGCTCATGGAGGTTGTTGTGCCGCTAAACAAAATTAGTCTCCCCCCATGTTTTTCTTAAAATATATTTAGTAAGTGGCAGGTCAGATTTTCATGATCATTTAAGTAACTTTCTGAATTCCTCTATCAAGTAACAACAAGGAGTTTCTGGTTTTAGACACAATATTTGTGTGTCCTGGGTATGACAATAAACTACATCTGCATCCTAAGATAAGCTACATCTGATAGCAAGGCCTCTGATCAGGAGGTTTTGAGGAGCATGGAGCCACCTCTTAGTTCCTGTTGTTTCTCAGTCCAGCCTGACCTGGGGTGGTAGCACCTGTTAGGGTCCCAGCTATGGGCAAATAGTTAACCCCCAAACTGGGGTCAAAAAAAAAAAAAAAAAAAAAAAAAAAAAAAAAAAATTATTACCTGCAATACTTTTTTGGGAAAAATATTACCAGAAATACTTTTTCAAAAAAAATATTACCAGCAATCAAAAATCTTGTCAGCATTAAATAACCTCTTAAGGTTGATAAGCAAACCAAAACCAAACAATATTTGTGTGGATTATAGTTTTATTTGTTTACTGGAAATAAAGAGAAACCCATTTTTGGAATTTACAAATTCAGTTTTTAATGTGAATTTTTTAATTTGATTTTAAAAAATAAAACCTTTCTTATTTTATTCTTTCATTTTTATTTATCCTATAAAAATCAGAAAGAACATTCAAAACAATTAAATCTAACAAGTAAATTAAGAACTAAATGCTCTATAGTATTTTATTCAAATTTCACTCAAATCCATTACATTCACTTATGTGCTAATACCCTTGGGAAAGGTATGAATCATCATCTTCTCCCCCAGCTATGGGTAAATAACAGAACAGACTGAATTCTATAGCCTTGGATGGCAACTGGTCTACCGCAGAAAGAAATGGCAACCTACTGTAAGGAGAAAATCTGCCTTGTCAATCATGTATCGAAAGATACATGATCGCCTAAGCATATATCACGCATGGCAGATAACTGACTAATAGTATTTTAAATAGCGTTTTTGTCACAGTGTCAGTATTGTAGGGTTTTCAGTGTCCAACAGAGAGTTAAGGAATGTTTTGAATTAATGTATTCGAAGGAAAATAAGATTTGCTAACATTTCAACAAGGAATATCAGAAATTTTAGTGGGTATTGTATATCACATGTTGCTAGAACTTCATTCAACCAAATTGGCTCAGCTTAAAACAATTATTACAGATTTGTAGAAATCTAATAATTGGGGTGGGAGAAGGAAATGGAGCTAGATCCAGATTGGGGTTGTTTGTGTGTGTGTTCATTTATATATGGGATCGGATTTCCTACATTTTTCAAACGATTTCAACAAAACTTCACTTTTTTTTTTGGCAGGTAGTGTTTCTTATTGTCTTGCACACTTTTTTTGTTTATTTTTACATTCAGAATGCTTTAAAAAATCCATTTACAAGACAATTGTTTATAATAAAATTCTATTCAATCGGTAGACTCATAACGATTGAAAACAATATTTTTGTTTGAGTTTAGGTTTGACCAATTCCTAAAAACAAAAAACAAAACAAAAAAATAAAACTAATTAAGACGTGTGTCCGTCAACCTTAAACAATAATCTTTGCCAATTTTATTTTTCAGTCTTTATGATGGTCGATACTTGATCTATCTCTTACTGTTACATTCCTGGGCAACGCCGGGCTCTACTGCTAGTCTGTGATATTTTGTCAAAAAAAAAAAAAAATCTCTGCACAAGATGTGAAGAATTCATTCACTTTGTGAATACAATGATCACTCGGTACACAAATCTCATTGCTGATTGAGTAACCTCATGGGAGAGTGGTGGTTCACAGATGTGCACTAAGTTTCCTAATGAGTTACCAAGTTACATCAAAGATGATTCAAGGCTAATTCAAAATGGTTGAGTACATTCTGGGCAGAGTTTGTATGATATTTTATAAACTTGATCAAGCAAAACTGTGTGCTCAGTGGACTTACGTCTCTGCTCAGTATTTTCATTTATTGATATAACCATTTCTCTTCGGTGATTTACGTCCTTCTAGATCTGGTTTTGTTCTTTTATGACCGTAATAACTGATAAACTAGAAATATACAAATTGTTTTCATAATGTATTACTTCACAATTTTTTGCATTCTTATTTTTACTAATCTGGATTAATTATTTTTTTTCCCTCTTTTCCAGTTCCCCTGAGGAATTGGTAAGGCCAAGGATTTCACTTACCTCATGTATAGAATCCTTTGCAGCCGTAGAAACAATAGATGACTTTTACAGTTCAGCTTTACAATCCAAGTCCATTGTCCACAAGTAAGTGTTGTTTTTCTATTGCATAATTAGCAAAATCATTTATAATTAAGGAATATGCTATTTATATGTTTTTAAATTCTTAGAGCCCAAATGATATTTATGAGACATTGTAAATATTTAAATTAAAAGATAACATCACATTTACATGACATCAAATAAATTCAAAATTAAAAACCAGCTAGTACATTATATTTAAAAAGGAGGTACAACATTACTACTGGATTCTAATGAAATGGACTTTGTCAAGAATTGGAGACACTAGTCAGTTGAAATCTTGAAATACACGAACTTCATAATTTCAATCTTTTTTATACAGAAATTAATCTGTAAATTAAAGAAAAATAATTTGAAATATAATAGGAATAATTTATCTATTCTGTTAAGAAAATATGGTAAATACATTGTTTGTGTAGAATACAAGAAATTTTTTAATGTAAATTTAAGGTAAGAAAGGAGGGTCATATTATACACAAGTACATGTTTTATTCAGGTTAAAAAATTTTTATTTAAAACAGCCGGATTGCAAATACACTTACTGCAATAGATAATAAAACCCAAAGTAGACAGGTGTTGATAACAATTGTTTACAAAAAGGTATTTTATATGTTGACAATATTTGTTACTCTCTTTATTCTTAATGAAAGACAATATTTTTTTTTTATAGTTTATTACTATATAGAAATATAATAAAATCATATCGGACAAAAAAGTAGGATTAATTAACACCTTAAAATGTATTTCCAGGTATGTCTAGTTAGCATCTTTTCCTGAAAATTAAAAATTAAGTTTTGAAACTGAAATTAGAAGAAACATGCATGGCTAAACATCTGGTTCATTTCTATTTTTTAATATTGTGAAAAATTAAATATTTTAGTGAAATATATGTATGACATTGAGATTTTAGTGGATAATATGGTACAACTTTAAAAAGAAATTTAACATAGTGATGGTTCTACTATATAGGGTCGTGTTATACACTAGGATTTAATTTATTCCCCTGTTTTTAGCTTCAGAAACACGGTTCGTATTATACTAAAGAAAATACAGTAAACAAAGATTTGTTGTTGAAATACACCCAGTAATTTTTGCAACTAATTTTTATCTAAATGGGCAAGAGTTATCTCCCTTTATAGCCGTATGCCTAGTTTTGTGAATGATTCTCTCAAAATATTCTTTGAATAGCATTTAAAAAAATTAAAAAAACTCTTACTGTGCCTTTTGATGATTGTCAACATTAAATCTGTGTTTATTTCCAGAACAACAAGATTTACTTCGTTTCCAGATTATCTTATGGTCCAGTTGAATAAGTTTGTTATTGGCAATGATTGGGTGCCAAAGAAACTTGGTATGTAATTTTTACTTTTGCTTTTATTTATAGGATTTTTTTTATTTGGTAAAAAAAAATTCTATGAAAAAATAGTTCAAACAAATGATTGAGGCAAGATTTAATTTATATGGGCACACAATAAATATGGACGACAAACTGAGTTTAAAAAAAACAAAAAAACAGATGATAAATTTATTGTTAACACACAAAAATGAATGAATTACACAAATTAAATGCATTGTGTGCCAAATGATGGCTAATAACATGTATGTAAATTATCAATGAAAATGAAATGTGCGTTTTTACAATAAAAATTATAATGCTGCATAAGGTCCTCAGAAAAGGAAACTAAATAAAATGAAGATAGGAGAAAATACTTCTGAATTGGTACAATTTTCGAAGCAAAGTTCGTGATAACAGCGAAGAATAGAACAAGTGCACCAGCTGAAGACTTCTCCTTGATGTGAGAATGACTTTGATATTACTTAAAATTCTCGTCTGGTGGTTGCTGAATTTCTTCTGCATTATTTTTCTTTCTGGACTGGAGCGACCTGGATTTCTGCAACAGCTGTTGACTCTGAAAATTAACTCCAAGAAAACTTAAATAACCTACAGGTAGGCTCCAAATACACTTCTTGGAATTTGGAGGGAAACCCTTTTATTGGTTTTGGATGAAAAACAATTGCAGCTGCTTTCCCAAAAATCGAAACGTACTAAAAATATTTTTGAAATTCAAAAATTAAGCAAGAGCTCAATGCCGCATCTGCTTTCTCTCTGAAAGGCAAATGATACATACTCAGGTAGCTTAAATTTCTTATATATGTAAATGTGTGTATGATGACAGTAACTCTAAAAAATGTGGTAATTCACTAACAAATGCTAAAAGATTTATTTCATGTTAATAGTCACATCCTTATTAACATTATCTTCAGAAACATTAACTATCACGTTTGAAGCCTAAGTTAGAAAAAAAAAAGAGATTTAGCATGTTTTTATCAATAAATAAAGAAATTAAGTATTATATTTCTTACAAATGACCTGCCATTGTCAATGTGAATTTGCCCTCCATCCTCATAACTTAGAATAGCATTGGCACATTTCAAGTTATTAAACCTTGCTTCTTTCCATTCTCATTGCTGAGAGTCAAGGACTATGTGCAGTTATGGTTTTGAATTCAGAGTTGACCCTTTCCTAGACTGGTTACCAACCATGGCTAGAGAGCCAAGTCTGCATTGCTATTTAACCCATACTTGGAGGGAGAAGAGATGGATCCTTACCTTTCTCAAGAGTATTTGTATGTCAATTAATGTAACAAACTTGACTTGAACCCAACTCTCATATTTTTTTTCGTTTGTTTGTTTCAAGTTGCTATCTATTACACTACAAGCACATCCTTTATGTCCATGGTCCTCATCAAGAGTGGGGGCGGGGAAGAATGATGTTGCTGGATCTCAATTTCTGTTCTGGCCATTACTTGAAAGTTAGTTACTGATCCACAGCTAATCTGCCCTCGTTGCAAGAATGAATTGGTCACTTGAAGTATTATCAGGGTAACTAAGGACTCCCATTTACCTCAGTTTTGGAATCGGTGATCCTTCTCTTAGACAAACTGTCAACCAAGGCTAATAACCTATGTCTACCCGTATTCCAAGTGGTTGTAGTGGGTACCTTCTTGCATTGAGATTGTCATCCTCTCTCCTTATTCCCTTTCTCCCCTCTGGTGGCAGTGATGAGGATGGCTGTGTGAAGGCTCAGCCTACTCTCGAAGTGTTGTGAGTGTGAGCAGGAGACACAGAGGAGTGTTGGTGATGGACCTGGATGGGTGAGTTGGGACCTCCTGACAGTATATATCACTAATCTTAATGGTTGGATTCAGATATATTATTACTTTACTATTATTTCTTTCATTTTAATTTCAGATGCTTTTCATTACAACACTTCAAAATTTCATCCTTGATAATACTTCATTTTATAAAAGAAAGAAAAAATACTGCAAATGTACTATTTTTAATGTATACAGAGTGTGGCAAAAGTAAACCTTTTTTTTTTTTTTAAACTTTTATTGAACAAAAGTGAATTACACTAGTTTAAGAAAATTTATAAATGTTGTCACATAAAAACATGATTTATGATTAACGAACTATTTAACATGTACAATATAATGCTGAACCATATCAGCAACACTTCTACAAACCATTTGCCACATTTTTATATTAATTTCAAAAAATTTATCAGAAATTGCTTTTTTAAATCCAGGAATTGCTTTCTGTTTGAGCTTTCAATACACCTCACAAAAAAGGGTCTGGTGGTGTTAGGTCTGGTGGTCATGATGGCCACTCAATTGCTCCATGTCGTCCTATCCACCTCAGCTCGAAATTAACCTTTACCATGCTAATTTATTTCTAGAATTGTTCCCCCTGCCACTGTATATTTTGAGGGTGCAAAAACATGAACACCTACTGTTTTAAAATTGTTATAACTTTCTTTGTATTGCATGTATAGATTTTAATTTTTGTACATTAAGAAAAGAATGAATGAGTAATATTTTGGTGTAATGTATTACGTTTTGCAAGCATGTTTTGATGTTGAAAACAAAAAAATTGAAATGCGAGATATATAACAAATCCGTTAAAAAATACATAAATAATTCAATGTACTTTTATTACTCCATATGGAGTTCATGGGGTGCAATAAGAAACAAAATTGCTAAGAAAGCTTTCATTTCGTCAAAAAAATTGACATGTTTTCTTGTGTTTATATACAAGAAGACACTTGTATTTGTTTGCTCTTTCTTTCACTTGACTCGTATTTATTTGTCTCATTGATGAATAAAATTATTTCATCGTTTATAAATAGACAAAATAATTCACCTTCAGAAAGGCTATAAGGTATATTGATGGTTGCCAGTAGCTTCCATAAAATTAGTCATGTATGGATGATAGTAGCTGCTAGTGATCATCATTGCTTTCTTCCACATCACTAGTATGTTTATCATCTCTGACCACTTCACTGTCAATATTCACTTGAGTAAAGCCTTCAAAATCATCATTGGCATCTTAATAAAAAAAAAAAAAACCTGAATAAAGGCTTTGTTGGATATTGATGTGGCCATTTTTGTTTACAAAAAATAGCAAAAAAAATTAACGTGAGTTTAATCGGTATTACACCTCGTGTAGTGTCTAGAAGAATTCAAAATGGTGTTGGAAAACGGAAGTTTAACCTTGTTCCAAAGCAGCAGTTGGCGATTTCAGTTTAAAATACCAGAAATAACAGTTGATAAATGTTTATTCATAGCAACCGTCTGAAGGTGACAGAATGCGCCTAGAGCAGCAAAGGGAGATAATTCTACGGCGACTATTTTCGCCTGCTGTGTGGTAAATTTAAATAAAACTATTTACTAAATGGAATAAACCTGACTAAAATAGTGATGCAATCTTGTCACAATATTTTGATATGTAAACCTCAGACCTTGGTGAACAATTGGATCACCATTATTGAACTATTGTTACTACTTTATCTACCATTAATTGTAATTAGGTTAAATATAACTGAAGGCAGATCTAGCACAATAATAGCTAAGGTGCAAAAACATGAACACCTAGTATGCTTACGTGGTAATCATCTTCAACCACTTCACCATCAATATCCAATTGAGGATAGCTTTCAAATCAATCAAAGAAAAACTCTTGAATAAAGGCTTTGTTGGATATTGATGCGGCCATTTTTATTTACAAAAAATCACAAAAATTAATGTGAGCTTAATTGATGTTACACTTTGTGTAGTCTAGAAGAATTCAAAATGGAAAAAGGAAGTTTAACCTTCTTCCAAAACAGTAATAGGCGATTTCCAGTTTAAAATACTGTAAATAACAGTTGACAAGTGTTTATTTATAGCAACCGTTTCAAGGCGACAGAATGCGCCTAGATCAGCAAAGGGAGAGAATTCTACGGCGACTATTTTCACCTCCAGTGTGGAAAAGGTTAAGATTTAACCATTCCCGAATGCATAAGCCATTTTCTTCAAATATCGTTCTGATTTTTAGTTTTTGGGAAGAATTCAATTTGCACCCAAAAAAAAGGCGTTACTTTTGCCACACCTTGTATATGAAATACTTTAAAGTGTTGCTGTCTTTTATATTTCAAGATTGCTCTTGAACAAAATATGTGAGTTTGTGTCTAAACCATGAAAGCAGAATCGACTTAAAAGCGAAAGCATAATAAACATGTTTTTTTTTTTTTTAATTTACAGATGTATCAATGGACATTCCTGATGAACTTGACCTCACTGGTCTGCAAGGCACAGGTCTTTTGCCTGGGGAAGAAGAGCTTCCATCGGAAACATCACAACCCGGTAAGCTTGGTGTGGAGATGCAAAGAGGTGGGGTGGGAACAATTTTCAGCACCCACGTCATATAATACTGTACTGTACTGATGCGGCATTCACCCTGGGCGGATTGAGCCGGCTTCTTCCTGTTATGAGAAGAAGATTCTTGGGATAAATTACAGAAGTAGGGTACCCAGGCCTACTCGGATAACGTTCTTGCTTGCCGCGGGGTTCCCACAGACGCAGAGACAGGAACGACCAGAAGCCGCCGGTTACCGATGCAGACGCTCCTTGATTTTCACCAGAGCCCTTGTTAGCGGCGTGTGTGTGTCAGACCTGTCCGCCTTTGGGTGGCCCTACCAGGAACGAAGTTCCATTCGGCATAGCTCTGACACTACTGTTTACCCCCCCCACCGACTGTGAGGTAAGGGTTGGACTTTTTTTACAGTACCAGGTGTTCCCAAGCGGTTTGAGATCTAAGTACTGACCTGGCTCTCACAATGCTTAACTTCGGTGATCGAACGAGAACCGGTGTTTCAGCGTGATTTAACCGTATAATGAACTTATATGACTACTTCAGTAATTTATTTCAAATTTAACAACTGAAATACATGTGGGTATGTATGTACTGAATATGCTCAAGTATCATGTGATGTTTCAAGACTTAATTTTGATGCTACAGTAAATGGATATATAGTCTGGTCAATGGTGTAGCCAGTGCCAGCAGTACATAGGCTAATTTTATATTTCATCTATGATGCAACTCCCTTAAATTTAGCCTAGAAATTAACTCTTCAAAAGTTGCATGATTTGTGTGCACGTGTATTTCTATGAGTGCATGTATCAGGCTTGGTGAAAGATAATATATGTTGATATCACCTAGTTGTAAATATATGTTGATATTATCTAGTTTTTAAAATCTTCTAAAACCAGGTGCTATCAACATATATTGCACCAATAATGCTTCTAAAAATATGACATCCCTTTATAAATATTTTTAAAAGTTAAAAGTTAACAAATCTCCTACGCTAAAAAAAAGCTATAATTTGTAAATCTGTAAATAAACCTAGCTTCTTATGCACATTTTTGAGAGAGAAAATCAAATGGTATAGCTCTCCAGAAATTGGTTTATGATGTGGCTTTTAAAAAGTCAAAAATGAAACCCCTCATGTTTAAAATTATTAAAAATATGGCAATTCTTTTCTGGTACACCAGTCAACTGTTACTGGGGTTTTACAAATAAATTTCTTCTAAACAAGGAAAATCAATGAGTTATTTTTCCCCCTAGATAAATATGTTTTTATCTAGCGAATACTACACCTAAAATTAAATATTAAAAATAATTTAAAGTTTTTAATTTCATTTTTATAATGTGTATATTTCCAAATCTGCGAGTAGCATATATTCTTTACACATTTTAAAACTGAAATGAAAAACTATTTTATAATCATTTTAATATATAATCTTGAGTGTATGAGATAAAACCATAAAGATATTTGTAAAAATAAAATAATTGAATATTCTTTGTTTAGAATAATTTTACAGACAGGAACACCCACTGAACATTAGTGGCTAAAAAAAGAATAATTTTTACTTTGGGTTTAAAACAAAATGAGTTGCAGTTTTGAAAATGTACACATTTTAAAACTGAGATTAAAACTTACTTTATTTTTTTAATATCTAATTTTATGTGTATTTTATTTGTAGAAAGCAAACAATTTTACACTAGAGACTCACATATCCGGAAATATACACATTTTAAAAGTGAAATTAAGAACTATTTTAATTATTCTTAATATCTAATTTAGGTTCATTCCCTAGATGAAAAATAAATTTATTTATTAAAAAAGATCTTCATTCATTTTTCTTGTTTACAACAATTTATTTCGTGATTGGTGTATTGGCTTAGTAGAAAACAATTACAAAAAATCCGACTTTATAACATTAAGATGAAACTAGAAACTAATTTTTTATTTTTACTCGCTATGTTGTTAACTTAATTTTAACACAAAGTCTTTTTTTGAAAACTGAAACATAGATTTTCATATTTCAAACATCATATCGTATTTCCTTTTTTTTCTGTTTGAAAGCATGATTTTCAAGTGTCATATCTGTCGTATTCCCTTTTTTTTTCTTCATTTCTTTTGTAAACAAATAGATTTCACATTTATTTCCTAAAACTAGTCAATCAAATGTTTTTTAACATTTTTGTTCAGTCTTTTCTCTTACAATGGTATAAATCTTGATAAAATTAAATTTTATTAACATCTGAAAGTCTTTTTCAATATTGTTTCTTTGGATATGGTCACTCAGTAGTGATATAGCACTTAAAAAACTGAACAATTTCGGTCTTGTAAAAATTTCGATGTGGTTTCACTGTGTGAAGATGAAACAGAAAAAAAGTCATTTTTTTGGTTAAACTGCACATCTCTACAGGGAAGTTACTCTTTTGTGATGTAGATGTTATTTCTATTTTATAAATTTTTTTATTTCAGTTGTACGGATAGATGATAATTTAGTGTCCCAACTTCTTGATATGGGTTTTCCCTTGGAGGCTTGTCAAAAAGCAGTGTATTATACAAACAATGCTGGCTTGGAGGTTGCTACCAACTGGGTGATGGAACACATCGGAGATGATGGTAAGTCTTTTCCTGGATTGACAAATAAAATTTTTCTTTTCTTTTATCTTTACTTTTTCTTTCTTACAAAAGGAGTAGTTTATTTCCCGTCTATTTGATATTTTTTTTTTTTTTTTAGCACTCCTTAAATAGATTACTCCACTTAGAAAAAATTTTGGGGGTTGGGAGAGAACTAAATTTTGTAAGTTAGCATTCTTTAGACCTTCAGGCTGTGACACTTGAATGAATTTTTCAGAATTGAAAAATAGAATTTTTATTTATTTATTTTTTTTTTTATCATTTCAGAAGTTGAGAGGAAAGGATCCTGTTCATAATATTGATAGTGTAAAATTGGTCCCTGATTTTTATAATAGGAGTTGACATGCCGTTAAATCCAACATCCATCCATCCTGATTTTTACAGAGTTATTAAACTTATTATTCACAATGTCAAGTCTGAAAGAATAGTAGCATCATTAATATCTGTATATTTAATTTTTCTTTTTTGAACTTTCTTTTGGAAGCATATGCACAAACATTAAGAGGATAATAATTATTTATCTTAAATGGGGAATAAATGGATACATACTTTTATTAATTCTATGTAAATTTTTAATGGTTAATTACACGTGTATATATCTATTTATTTTTTATTTAAAAGAAATCTTTGATCCTGTAAAAAAAAAAAAAAATTCTGTTTTCATATACAAAATCACTAAGTCCAATAACCGTAAAAGTTAGGGTTGATGGACAAACTGTATTGATATAAGTAGAATCTAATTTCTGAATTGATTTAAAAAAAAAAAAAAAAATTTTAATATTTTTTTTTTGTGGCTACTTATGTCAATTATGTGCAATATATGTCAATTTGAGCATTAACCCTTAGGAGAGGACCTGACCTAGCTAACAGCTGAAAAATTGAATGACAAAGGAGATGACTGGGCTGATCCATCAGCCCAGTAACACAAGCCTCAAGATTAGTTGGCCAGTCGTTGTACTAGCCAATCAGATTGCTTCTTGCACATCTGGACCTTTCAATGGCAGTTTCTATGACAGATTCTATATCAATTTTTTTTTTCCTCTCTTTTTGTGTTCCTAGTGAGGGCATGTGACAAAGGTTCCATCTTCTAGGCATTGAAATTCCAAATGAAGCTCCATCTCCAAAGGGTCAATTGAAATTTAAAAAAAAAAAAAAAAAATGGATCTTAATTTAAAAAAGATCTTTATTCATTTTAGATTTGAATTTGCCAGTCTTAATAGAATTTTGTGAAGTTAACTTATCTGTTTAAATAAAGATCTAAACCTGGATCAGCCTAATCCAAATCTATATATTGGCATCTACACTGTTATTTCTGGTGAACTTTAAGAATTGCAAAAATATGGTCAACTCTATAACTTATTAACTCTAGTTGACAGGAATTTCTGTCATTGCAGTTCCATTTGAAAATAATGGAAATTCCTGCGACATTTAATGAATTAAAATAAAAAAAAAAAAAAATTATTTTCCTTTTTTTTCAGATTTTAGCTCCCCTTTGCAACTACCAGGCAGTGATCAGTCCAAGTCTGACGTTTGCCCCGATGAGAGTACTCTTGCGATCATCATGTCAATGGGATTCACTCGCCCACAAGCTCTCAAAGCCCTCAAAGCTACAGTAAGTCTCTCTCTTAACATTGATTTTATTTATACTCAGCTAACACAAATACCACTTTAATGGTCACAAGGCATGTTGTGTGTATCCACTAATATATATACAATTTCCTAATGAGTTTAAATCAAAAAACTCACATGGACCATTTACATTGTTCATAAAAGATTTTTTTATTCAAGCTTAAAGTTTACAATTAAATTATTATTGAGTCTTTTAATTATCATGTAATTCTTATATATATATATTTGCTCTAAGCATTATATTTAATGGGTACACATGGGTTATTTTAAACTGTGGAATTTCCATCAGGGAAACCAGTTCATTCAGTGTGCTCTACCAGTTAGGCTACAGGAAACCATTATGATAAAGCAAAGTTCAATTACTTGCTTAAGAAAGTCACAACTCTTGGGACTTTTCAAAGTGTATATTTGGTGGGTTTATTTTATTTGTTTATAAGAGAAAAAAAACAAGCAAACTAATTTTCAAGTATTTTGTGTGTGTGTAATATATATATATATATATTTTTAATCTGACTGAATAAAATACATTATATATACTAGGGTGTCCATAAAGTCTCTTTACAATTTAAAAAAATATTACAAGAGCAAATGAACAAATATGTGGAAATTGTTACAAAATGAAGCGTAGATTCTGTCTATATTTCTGAGATGAGGTATTATGTACATTATTCGGACTATTGTCCTCATCTTTGTTGCCATATTTATCACAACATTTCGGCAGTTGTACACTCCGGCCTTCTTCAGGTGGTTGGAATTTCGAACTGAACCCTTTATTTCGCTCACTGGGATAGACTGTTCTAGTTCCACGTTTGATGGATGTCAGTTATCAGTTATCTCCTGCTAATTTCCCTCTGAAAGTTCTCCACTGCCTTAACCGGGTATTGAACTCACACTCTTTGGGTCCTGTCACTGGATCTAACCAACGCCTTTATCCGCTGTGCCATGTGTCCTTAAGGACACAATAATGTAGTCTGTTATTTGGTACAGTTGATGTCCTATCTTTGTTCCATAAACAATATATAGAAAGAAATTCTGTAGTTTCATTGACTCTGCATATCTGATTTTGTTTCAATAAACCATGACACGCATTGTGCCCTTTTTTGAGGAGTATCCATTTTTAGGGGTTCATTTAACATTACTTCTTTTAATCAACAGGATACTTGAAATACACAGATGCAATGTGATTAAAAACTTTAATAACTACTGAGTACATAGAACAAATCTGATTAAGATATCTTATCAGTTGACTTTGTAATATATTTTTTAAATTGTAAAGAGACTTTACAGACACCCTGTGTATGTATATATATATATATATATATATGTATAATAAACTATATAGTGGGTGGATACACAACATGTCATAATGCTTTAACAAAATAATTAATCAATTAAGTGTTGGGGGTGGAGGAAATGAAACTGGTTATTTATGTCAATATTTCAATTTGCTGTAAATAAAATGTTGTGGTAGGTTGGACTTTTGCTTGAATTACATATGAGTCAATAAGAAAAGATATTCTCATGATTTTTCACACCACTCACCTAGCTTATTATGAACAATTCCCAATGAAAATAAACTGCAAGAATAATGTTTCAGATATTATTACTGTATAATTATTGTTTTGTTTCTTATTGCAACACTGTGTCAATAGACTCCCTTCACCAGTTTTTAAAAATTTATTTATTATGTGTATATATCACATTATTCGGACTATTGTCCTCATCTTTGTCGCCATATTTATCACCGCATGTATTGCTTGTCTCAAAGCTTAAGCCGTGCAAGTTCATGCCATATATTAGAACGGGCGAAACCGCGAATGGCTCAGGAACTGGACCTAATCCTCAGGACCGTAATCCTCCTCGGAGGTGATGGATAACTGTGGCAATTCTAGAGCTAATACATGTGGTGATAAATATGGCGATACCTCATCTCAGAAATATAGACAGACTGTGTATATATCAGTTATAACAAATTTAGTCTAGGAGATAAGGAAGCAGAACCTGATTGGCTGCACTAGAGATAGTTTTGCTCAATACCACCAATTGCTAAAAATCAAAATCTAATGTCTTGTTCTTAACTAGCCTCATCAGATCAAGGTTTTCGTATGGATGTCATAGCACCAAACCCAGAGATATCTAAACTCTCAGCTGTATCCAGATGCTTTCTCAGATCAATGATTAAAAATGGCTTTGAGTGAATGGAGCCTGTAGGTCTCAGTGAGGACTATCCTTTTCAGAACCTCATAACTGGCACTACAGAATCACAAACAATGAACTGTACCAAATAACAGACTACATTATTTGAAGACTTTCAACAGCAGCAAAAAATAAAAATGGATAGCACATATAACTTGAGAACCTAATGACATAATCAAGATGTTGATATCCTATACTACACTGAACAAAAGGTTAGGAAGGAAGCTCCAATCAGTAGTGGACTTGAGTAACCTATATTATAGAGAAATTGTTTTAATAGAAAGATAGTATACATTTAAAGAAAAAATAGCACTGGATATTCAGACAATGGGTGCTGGATATTTCCATATAAGGAATGGTTTGGTTTGTTCTGTTTTATGGTATATCAACCTCAATGGGTTATTTAATGCCAACAAGATTTTTATTATTAATTATTTTTTTTAATATTTTTTTTTTTTTTCAAAAATGTATAGCTGGTAATTTTTTTTCTTTTTCAAAAATGTGTTGCTGGTAATAATTTTTTACAAAGTATTTCTGGTACTAAAACCTATATTTTAACACTTTCATGGTGTTTTGACCTCAGTTTAGGGGTTAACTATTTACCCATAACTGAGACCCTAACAGGTGCTACCACCCTGGATCAGGGTGGACCTGGGAACACCAGCAATTAAGAGGTGCTTCCATGCTCCTCAAAACCTCCTGATCAGAGGCTTTGCTGTTGGACATAGTTTATCATCTTGTACAGTATAAGGAATGTTTAATATTACCATTATTACTAATGGTGAGAACAGATACTACACTTTGATGGCCAGAGGGTGAAGAAAATATAACTAGTTGCACTAGTTGGTTTGTCAATGAAGATTTCCTTAAAAGGATATGGCTAACATTATCATTGTAGAGTTTCTTCCAGTGAGATGTGAATGTGTGTCTCACAATTTCTTTCATTATGTCCTCTTAACTTTTTCATCCATGAAAGGATCAATAATTAAGTGGAAAATAATTGTGCATTATGTAGAGAAAAATTAGTTTTGCTACTTTTTTGGTTTTATCTGTCATCTTTATTTAGCTTCCCTGTAATTTTTTTAAGATGGTGTTATCAGAGGTTTCTTTCTGATTTCATAGTGAAAACCCATTTACTGGTTGAATGCGAGGAATAAAATTAAAATAATTTTCATCTATCAGACCATTGCAAAAGTTTGTGCTTGATTTACATTAAAAAAAATATATATATATATATATATATATAAAAAATATGTAACTTTATACTGGCATGATTCAGATTGAAATCTTTCATTGTTTAGTTGTGAATCCAACCTTCTTGAATGTTGACATTTTGTCCACAAATGAATGCCTTAAAGATGGAGGAGGAAAAGTTGCACTTTTGCCATATTATGCTCTATGAATTTTGAAAAGGAGTAAACATCAGAACTATGACCAGAAAAAAAAAAATAAAAAATTCAGGAGTTTTATTTAGTGTTCCAGCTCTTTGGACAGCCCAAATACAATTTGGCAGACTTTGCTGAGGTGATTTTTACCTATACTATCAACCACGCTCTGGGTGATCTTTCAACGTTGATGAAGACTCTTGTTTACATTATTTATGTTGTTTGGATTGCTGCCCTCATCTTTATTGCCATATTAACAACATTTTAGCAATTGTACATTCTGACCTTCTTCAGGTGATTGGAATTTTGAACTGAACTCTTTATTTTGTCCATTTGGGTAGACTGTTCTAGTTCCACATGACATGCCTTTTATGGATATCTCAATTATCTCCCTTTAACTCTCCAAGTATTTGTTCACCACTGCAGTAGCCACGACTCTTTAGGACAAGTCACTGGATCCAATCAATGCTTTTATTCATTGGGCCATGTGTCCTCTTGCCATTGTGGAGAATAAACTGAAGATTTCAATGGAAGAAATTGCTAAGAGTTTGAAAATCGATATTTTGACTGCCTTTTGTCATTTGAAGAGACTTGGGTTCACAAAATGATTTTGGCAAATCAAAAAAGTTGACATTTTTCATCATGGAAATGCAAGATTGCATGTTGGAAAACAGATGTTGCGTAAATATAAATGAAATGGAAAAACCTCCAGTGCCTACTGTATTCTTCTGGTTTGGCTCTTTTGGATTTTCATTTGTGCCAAGTCTCTACAGAACAATTTACAGTCAGTCGAAAACTACCTCACAACCTTCTTCCAACAAAAAGGCATCAACTAGCTTGTAGAATGATGGGAAGATAGTTAAAAACAATGGAAACTATGTCCTTGACTAGTAAAATTTTGTTTTTAATTTTGTAATTAGGCAAAAAATTTGGCAATGATCTAATATTTACAAAAAAGAAAAAAAATAGCTTTTAAAGTTTTTTTTTCCTGGCTATGGTTGCAAAAAAAAAAAAAAAAGCAATAATTGTGTGAAAATAAATTTCCAAAATTTTTTTCTTTTATTAACAAAAGTTTTTCTACTGTGCATTGAATGTCTAGTTATATAAAGAAAACAAAAAAACTTTTGCACATAAAATGGCAAAGATAAAAACAAGAATTTGTAGGTTAAAAAACAGTCCTTCACACACTGCAGTGAACGTGAAAACTGCCTGTTCCATTGTTTAGAGCACTCGGCTTATATATCCCATTGTTTAGGGCATGACGTTCTCTATACAAAGTAAAAAGTCACATGGGCCTTCCATTTTTTTTCACCAACAGATGCAACATGCTGTCACTTGTTTTGATGAGGTTATTTGTGATTTTCTTCATCACATTGCATTGTTCCTACATTGCTTCACTGTTAGAAAACACAATAACATATAGCGAGAGACATGAGCTACTATGAATTCAAGGGGAAGAGAGAAAAAAAAAGTAATCTTTCCTCTTGTCCCTTTAAAAGGAGATATTTGTTCTATCATTCATTTGGATACTTTTTGCAGCTACCAATGTAAAATTCTCTAAAAAATTTTTGTGATAAATATCTTGCTAGCCTCTTAGAAGACGATGCTAATTTGATTTTCAGGATAACAATGTTGAGAGAGCTGTTGACTGGGCATTGAGTCATGCAGCTGAGTTGGATGCTGAAATGGAGACTGATGATGGCACTTCTGCAGCTGAAGCAGCACAACCTGAATATCGAGATGGGTCTGGAAGTAAGTAAACATTTTTTTTTTTTTTTTCAAATTAACAAATATTTTAGTTTTGATAAATTTCTGGGATGTGGAGTTATCATTATTTACACTATTTACATTCAAACTATTGTCCTCATCTTTGTTATTATTATCAAAACTTTTCGGTCATTGTGTCCTTCATCAGAATTATATCGATCCAGGTAACCTACAGGGAATTCTGAACCAAACCCTTTATTTAATCTATGGGGTGGGATGTGGATTTTTTTCATTTCACTGCTCATGTCTGGGGATATCTTGTCTAGTTATTTTTAATACTGCTCAGTTATTGCTTACCCCATTTCCACCGAGTCCAAGTGGACACTGCTTGGCTCAGATGAGGCCAATAGAAAAATTAGATTTCTTCATACCTGATAATTGATCCTGGTATTGGACATACAGGTAACATTGTCATCATGGAATGTAGAATCAGTGAGCTTGGGGTGTATAATAAATATATATATATATATATATATATATATAATAGATCTGTAGTTATTTATAAGTAATAAGCAGGAGTTGTGTCTCCTGCCTTGTTAGCTTTTTTTTTTTTTTTTTTATTATAACATAAGTAAAATTCCCATAATGCACTAGAAAGAGGGTTTTGGCACAAAAATACAGTCTCACTCTCATCGCCAGATGTTGGACTAGAAAATTTACATATGTTTTGTGAATAATATAAATCATTTATATAAGTAGTTGTATGTTTGATCAAAACTAAATCATTTAATAAATATGTTATATCTTGTTGCATGCACACCAAAAACTGTTTCATGTAATATTGCATATGGATATTTAACATGTGGCAGGATGATATAATCCCAGACCCCCCCCCAAAAAAAAAACCAAACCCAAGAACAAGCCCTTATCTCATTTGAATTCCACAACAGAACAGATATTATATAAATTAAATGCATCAATAATGATTTGACTATAGAAAGAAATTATCAATGGCCAAGAATTAAGGTATTACCTTAATTCTTGGCCATTGATAGTTTCTTTCTATAGTCAAATCATTATTGATGCATTTAATTTATATAATACCCTGTATTTCATTAGTTATGCTTGCATTAATTCCTGATATTTGTCCATTTATTACTGATTTTTAATGCATTTATATTATACATAAAAATACTTGCACTGAGAATTCCTTTCTTTCTGATATTGAGTGTCAAAGATTGTCCAAATTTTAGATGAAAAATTTGGTTATTAAATCCTGAAAAAGTGTTAATCATACTGATTTCTTTTGCATTTATCACTTTGTCAATGACTTTCACTAAGAGTGGTCTATTACAAGTTACTAGTTTTATCTTGTGAAAATTTCATGGCTTTCCTCTTTGAAATTTCTGCTGAATCTTGTTTCTACAGTTAATGACTGTATAAGCTCAAGGCGAGTTCTATAACAATAAAATATCTGTAAAAATTCCCCTATTGCATCATTAAATATTTGAACTTCACAACTTTAACAAAATATTGCAATAACACTCATAAATATGAATGCTGGTCGTTATTGACAACTTTTTCCATTTCACTGAAACAGGTTTTAAACACTTCTATCCTCTGTTCTTTCTCTCATTTTCTTACTGAAACCAAGTAGCAATCTTCTAAGCATAGCTTAGATGTGACACAAGGCCAAAAGTATGGGATACCCAGTGAGGATCAAACTCACTACTCTGACATAATTGATCTAGCAAATCAAGCTTGCTAACTGTTACACCACATTGAAGTGTCCCAAGTAGTGTCTTTTGATGTCCTTAGTCTTATGAGATCAAAACGAAATAGTCTATTATTTACGAGGCATTGGCAAATTAGAATAGGATTTTAGAAAAAATCTGACAAAGTTGAAAAAAAATTTTGTGTGACTCAATTCATTCTGTAGGACTTCAGAGAAAAATAATGTTTATGTTACGACACATGCGGATGAAGAAGAGAGGGTGTTGAAATTAAGTTTTTCTTTATTAAAAAAGAAAAAAAATAGTCTAGTCAAAGGACAAAACATCACATTTTTCATAGATTTTCCTAAAATTCTGATATATAAAAATTTGACTTTTTCTTATAAGTTTTTACAACTATTTATATAATAAAACTGTGGTGAATGTGAGTCTATACAGACACAAGAGGCCCTAAATTGTGTGTGGACATGTCTGTCGAAGCTTGTCACATCCAGGTTTTCCCTGTTAGCAGCAGAACAATTTGACATGTCCAGATATGAGCCTCTTCAGATCTGGATCTTTGTCAACTGTCTCAAGCCACTAAAAGCAACAGGCAAACAAGCAGTTTGCAAGACTTGGTGTCTTGTGAAGCCACCTGCTGTTTCTTTCTGAGATAGTGACCTCACTAGTCATTACTAGTTTATTTTGTTTTCTCTCATCTCTTTCTTTGTTACCTCCCTTTCCTTGTCTCCCCCCCACCTTTCAATACCCCTTGCTTTATTTTACAACACCAACTTATCAAAACATCAGATTCAGTGGTGGGTTAGGCCAAAAATTTTTTTCAGCACCCCTCAGTGTCCATGAAGTTTTATTGTAGGCAATATGTGTTTTATTTTCTTTTAATTTCTTTTTTTCTTTTCTTTTTTTCAACAGAATACAAATTAGTTGCCTTTATTAGCCACATGGGCACTTCGACACTTGTGGGACATTATGTCTGTCACATCTTGAAAGATAACCACTGGGTCATCTATAATGATGAGAAAGTGGCCCTGTCAGAGAATCCACCAAAGGACCTTGGCTACCTCTATCTCTACAAGAGAATATGAACATGCTTCCGCTTTTGTTTTAAAGAGAAGAGAAAAAGAAAAAAAAAAACCAAAAAAAGTACCGCTGCTGCTATTGTTACCGCTGCTGCCTCCATCACCTTGTTTCAACAACAAATCACTTTTTAGAATTTGTTATAATTATTTACTAAAACTATTGTTGCTATGGCTACAGAAGTTTGTTTGTTGTTTTGATATCATTGCTATTCTTACTATTACTAATTGCAAAAAAAAAAATAATGAATGTCTTGACTTATCTGGTAAAGAGGATCTTTGATAACAGCAGATGCCAGGGTTTGAGCCGCCATGCAGCTATTTTGGCCTTGTCTTTCATGGACTAACACACTTGGTTAGTTCATTTATATACTTGCAAAATCTACAAGAAATACAAATGTCTACCTATTACTATCTTCTGATTTTTTTTTTTTTTTTGGGACGGGGGGGGGGGTAGAGGTTCAAAGAATAACGGCACTTTTGCACTTGTATATAAATATATACAAAAAGTGATATTAATCACTTGTTTACTTAGAACCAAACAAAAAAAAAACCTTATCACTCTGTATGTGACTTCATTTGCTGTGCAAAAGGTTTATCCTGCCATTGAAGGTAACCAGTTCCTGAATTGGAATTCAATTAACAGTAAGGATACTGCGATTGAGAGGACTTGAAAAAGAATGCAGTGGAAAGGGAAGTAATACTAATAATGCAGAGTGCTAAAGGTTAATTAGTGTAAAAATGTATGGGGAATGACTTTTAAAAAAAAAAAAATGACTACTGTTTATGTACACAAGGTCCTGAACTATGATGATTTCAATAAAACGCTTGACTAAATTGAATTGATAAACACATGTACATTGCTGATAAAGAATGAATTGAAAGAAAACCTTTGAATAACAACTAATCTATATAATAAATGCAAATGTCACTATGTCGCACTTTTTTCAATTAAAGGGGCACAACTCTCTAACTTTCAATAGCTTACAGAAATTTTGGATTCCCAAGTTTTCATTGTGATTTTTTTTTTCTTTAATTGCGAAAAATCACCCATGAAATAAAAATAATTGTTTGTACAGAGAATAAGGATCTATATGCATTAAATTGTCTTTAAATTATGTGGTGACAGAAGAATTATCATTGAACTTTTAAAATGCAGCGATCAATTTTGAGTTCTTCTGCAGTTTATTGTTGCCTATTGCATATAGCAGCAGTATGCCTCACAAAATGCAATCTCAGCCAACAGAGGACCAGATTGCAATCAAAAGAGCCAAGACTGCAGTGAGGAAAATGTCCCATGTAAATGAAAACCCAGATCAAATAGCAGCCAGGAGAGTTTCCAAGGCTGAGAATATCCAAAGACCTAGGAACTCTCAAAACTCAAAGGCACAATCAAGAGCCCTTCACAGGATCTAGCTTAAATAAGATAATCACTTTTATTGTGCTAAATCCACCGTCAATTATATTCAACCTAATTAATAAAGTAGTAACAATAGTTCAATAATAGTGATCAGAATGTTCAGTGAAGCCTAAGGTACACTTGTCAAAATATTATAGTCTCCCCCCCTTCTTCAAGTCATTTATCTGGACGAAGAGAACTTCAATAAAACAGTTGATTAAATGGAATCAATCACATCACAATATTTTGACAAGTAATCAGATCACCATAATTCTACCATTTATAGTAATCAATAAGCAATGATATTCAATGTGAAGGCAGGTCTAGAATAATAATAATAATAATAATAGGTGAGGTTATCTTATTTACATTGGGTTTCCTTTGATTTCATTCTTCACTATTTTACAGGTGTTTATCAATGTTGTCTTCTGCCAAAGTCTGTGGCCTAATATATTTTTAAGCTTTTTAATTTTTTTCTTAACTTAGTACATTTTTAAGATTTTTTTTTTTTTTAAAATGGAAATAATTTAAAAGAAATTATATTGCAAAAATTTAAAAAAAAAAATTTTTTTTCTATTTGGGCTACATTATTTATTGATGTTATTAAAGGTATTTTAAACAACTTTAAATTTGTCAATTTAAGAATAAAATAACTATACAACTAATAAATTTTCATTACATGTTGGAAAGAAACCTGCAAGGTGCTGTTTAGTCAAAAGTTTAGGGGAATTTGAATGGCAGACCTGAACCAGATGTAGCAAGTAATTGTGCTGGCTTTGAAAGAGACAGCAGACTAGATTTTAAGGAAAAAGAATTTTCAAGGTAAGCACCTTGTACAAACCTCTGTAAGTTTCTGACAGCAAAAAGGAATTGAGTGATTAAAAAAAACCCAAAAAACTTGATCATACAATTTCAACTCTATCATGCTGACTAACTGGTCACTTATCTGATAGTCCCTCTATGAAAACCCATGTTCTTGACCAATACTGCAATAATATTTATAATAATAAAAAAAATTAAATTTTACTCCAGTCAAAACCTGCAAAGTCTTTTTTCTTTTCTTTTTTTTAAACAGTTCACTTCAAGTGAGGCGATAAAACCACTGAAACAAGGGGTTACTGAATGTGAAAGAACATGAGACAAAGAAAAACATTAAAAGGCGAGCAAGAACAATAAGGGCTTACTGAGGATGAAAGACAATAGATTGGATAAAACATTACTGAGGATGATTGACATTACATTTTTGTTGATAGAGTAAGAAGCTGGAAGAGTTTCACAGGCAAGAAGTGTGAGGAAAAAAAAAAAACTTATTAGAATATAACTTATGGTTAGACTTGGCAATCTAATGTTAAAGTCTAATACTAAACTTAAATTCATGAAAGCATTTCAGAACAAATACTTAAAGTATAAGATAGATATATTGTATACCGTATTTTCTTTTGTATAATATAAGAAATTTTAATTAAAAAGTAAAGGCAAAGGGTGGGGGGGTTGGTTGTATTATAAACAAGTATGTTTTCAGAATTTTTTTTTTTTTTTTTTTTTACTTGGCTTAAAAAACCTTATTTAAAACAGCAAAATTGCAAATCCACTCAGCACAATAGATAATAAAACACAAAGTAGGCAGGTGTTGATAATGATTGCTGACATTTCAAATAAATTTTGTAAACAATGTTTGTTCTTTGGGAATTGGACGTCTTTTGACTGAAAATTCAGAAATTTATTAAAGGAAAATGCAATGGCTAAATATCCGGTTCATTTCTATTCTTTAATATCTTGAAAAATTAAATATTTTAGTGAAACGTACGGTATTGAGGTTTTCATGGATGATATGAGAACTTTTCTCCAATGAAAAAAAAAAAAAAAAAAAAGGGATGTAATTGATACTCAAGGCATATTATACACAAGAAAATACGGTATGCTGTGTATTTAGGCAGCAGTTCTTTAATATACGTCTTGTTAAACAAGGCTAACAAGGTACTTTTGCTTTTTTAATGTTTTTCTTTTATATTGAGTGTAGAAATTATCCAAATTCTTGTTAATCTCTAGTACTTTCAGCTAATCTAGTCATTTTCAAGGATTTTAGCTATAATCAGTCAGTTATGTACTATGATGATACACGCTTAGTTGATCATGTATCTTTCGATACATGACTGGCGAGGCAGATTTTTTTTTCCCGCAGTAGGTTGCCATTCCTTTCTGCGGTAGACCAGTTGCCATACAAGGCTATAGAATCCGGTCTATCCTGCTATTTAACCATAGCTGGGGAGAGAAGAGGAGGATTCATACCTTTCCTATTAGCATGTAATTAGAATGTAATAGATGTGACTGGAATTCAAACTCGGCTCTCCGATTTCTCAATCAGAGCCACTATCCATTACTCCATCGTGCCTCCCTCGGTGTATAAATACTATTGTAGACAATCTAAAATTTGCCGAAAATAGGCATATTCTTAATTCCAAATACTGCTCACCCTGAATAAGATCAATCATGAACATGGCCAAAATGTACAGGTTGTATTCAAAAAATGGCATTTTCTTTTGTGTGCAGACAATACACGGAAGGAATTACCATTTTCCTTTTTGCAAGACCACACTGCTTGAGGAGCACTCTCTTGCATAGAGAGGTTCATGTTATTTCTACCTTGTCAAAAAAAATGAATCAGGAGGACATCAGCAGGGGCAGTGAAAGCCTTATTTTCAACTTCTGAAACAAGGAGGAACTAGATACGAAAGGGGAAATCCAGTAAAGGACCTCCCACCAAAAAAAAGATAGTTTTGTCTTGAAGTATCTGGTAAAGAATCCAAAGACAAGAAAGGATCCACATCGGAAGCGTCTCCTTCTGTATTAAATTCCCCCACGTCCATAATTGCAGGTAAACAGGCAAGAGAATATGCCCATTTTGTAAAACCTGATGGGCAAATAGTCAACATCTGAAAACTGGACAATAGAATCATTTCACTTTGTGATAAAGAAGAAAAAAAAAAAAATCAAAACTTTCAAAGATTACGTCATCAAGGTGTGGACAAATATGGTAGTCGGTATAAAAGAGATCGTTTAAAAAAAGAAAAAAGACTTCCCCATGTGTGATGTACTGCTGCTGCCTACCCCGGACGACTGCGTAGCTCTGACAAGAAGAGGCCTTCAAAATAAAGAAAGGCGTCATAAGAGTCAAATACTTAGGTCAGCGAAGACTACTAGTATCTGTATTGTGCTCAGTTTCATTTCTGGGCAACAAGTGGGAACATTACTCATATAAATCCATATAGAAAGACAGGTATTGAACGCCTTGAGGACACATGGCACAGTGGATAAAGGCGTTGGTTAGATCCAGTGACAGGACCCAAAGAGAGTGAGTTCAATACCTGGTTAAGTCGGTGGAGAACTTTGAGAGGGGAATTTACAGGAGATAACTGACATCCATTAGACATGGCACGTGGAACTAGAACAGTCTACCCCAGCGAGCGGAATAAAGGGTTCAGTTCAACATTCCAATCACCTGAAGAAGGCCGGAGCGTACAACGGCCGAAACGTAATAAATATGGCGACAAAGATGAGTTCAATAGTCCGAATAATTTAAATAGTGGTTTCAGTTCTCCGTAAATTGTGT